ACTGCTGCACATCGGTGCAGAGTTTTATGTCGAAAGCAGACAGACAGATGTGGTAAAAATCGTCCTACTCCACAAACGGCAGGATAATTCAAAATGACTGATAAGCGGTAGTACACAAACCAGTCTGGATGTTAAACGTTATGATGCAAAATAGGACCACATATGCAGAATGCTAGGGAAGCAGACATCTTCAGTGTTAATGAGCAGGCAATTAGGTTCTATTGAGGATAAAGGCTAACACAAACTAATTAGCCTGTTATAATACATTAACAGGACAAACAAAGAACATGAAATTCTTCTGTCAACTACTATCTTATACAATATTCAAGGAGACTGTGAGGGAACTATTTTAATAACCGAGAGATTTGTAGATAAAGGTGTCTTACTCGACTCGCAATGCTGGCTGACATATAATGGATCAGGTTGGAAAAAAGCCAGTGGTGGTCAAAGCAAAACATGGCTTCATCAGTCAATGAAATCCACAACAGTTAGTTTAAGCCACGTGGGAAAGTGTAGACTTCTTGATTAGGGTCCTCAGGATAGTAAAAACCGATGGCCGGCGCAGATGCATTCACTCTTTGTGATTTATAATATCCAATAAAACTATATTGTTCTTCCATATTAATATTCTTTTCCCCTCACCCATATTTCTGTTGATTATCTCTGTTTTGAGTCTCTTTTTACTTTCTTCTCTTGCTTTGTGTGCTACATGGATAGGGAGTGTGGCAATTTGAACTGCTGCACATCAGTGCAAACCAGTTTTACGTTGAAACCAGTTAGTCAGTCAGATAAAGGTGTAAAACGTAGGCTTATGAGATCCAAGTGCGTTTGATGTTTAAAAAAGTGTACAAATGGCTGAAGTCCTTAGCTGCCTTATATTGCAGAAATTGTCCTGTCGCGTGATATTTGAGTGAAGTAGAAAGTTTATTTTGTGATTACAGGGCTTACGTTCAAACACAACCTTACCCCCACAGTGATGAGGGAAATAGTAGAGTCAGTGTACCAGACAGTTCTTCATTACTTCTGTTCGTAATGCGGCGATTATACTCGAATAATCGTCATTCGAACTAAGCATCCAGGAGAGACATCGGTTCTGACGAGTACATGTGATAACTAACTCCTCGATGCTATGCTGTTTAGGGGGTAAACTGTATTTCAAATATTCAATCACGATAAAGAGACCTTTCGCCTATTTTAGAATAACATTTTCACCTTTAAAAATACTTGTGCCTAAGCAACACAAAGGAAATTCTGATTGGCAAGGAATCATGTTATTTGTGCAGCGATGGGGGGGTGTAGTATTTGTATCCATATCTCGTGGTAATGAAGTACATTTTCTGTCCTATAAATGAGTGAATGTAAGTGTTTGCAGTATGTAATCGCCTTGTAACCAGAAGGTCCTGGGTGGGTGCGTACTGATGAAGAGCCCCAAACTAGGACGAAGTACTTGTCCAGTACTCCCAGGTTTTCCCAGGGTTCTCTAACTATTGTCAGATCATGATGAAAATCCTGTAACCAATGAAATCCCTACAAATCAACACTTGAAAACTAAAATAACCTGTCCAAAATAAATCATGCTTACATTTATGATGATAGCACTAATAATAGACACAAGTACCACTTGTCTTTTGTATGCAGTTCCTCACCATAAAGCACCACTGTAATCGGAAGTCAATAAATTCACTTATTTCTCAATATCTTGATTGTTTTAAAAAAAGCCTATAAACTAACCGATAATTTTTCTCATTGTTTATATAACAGGAGCAACAGTTCAATCAATTTCTTCATATTCTTCATTATTTTCGGCGTCCAAATATTGGTGATGATAATTCAATCAATCGGAATTTTAAACTGGGGTTCATGGTAAGTCCCTTTGTTTTTGTATTTCTACGGTTGAAATTTCTTGTACTCCAATTTCGATGAGTGCTCCACTCTAAGCCTTAGTATCATTTTACACATTTCGGAGTTTCAGTAGAATATCACTTCTATTTTCTTTTCATTCCTTGTATTGTAACAACAGAAGACAAGGGCCAGGTAACAGATCGTTTATTACGGAAATTAACACATATTTATAGATTTTCATGTACATTATTGTTAGCAGACAAACACAGTTTTCTGATTGGTTGTTTCTCACTGAAAGTTAATCTTACATCTCTTTGTGGCTGTTTCGTGAAGGTCAGATCATCTATCTGCTAATTGTATCCGCCTACGCAGTCTGGTGTGATTGGTTATTGAATCAGTCTTTGCTCTTGTTTTCATATGATCAATATTTGGGACATAAACATTGACGTAAATTACTGTCTACCAATTTTGGCTAGCAGACAGCTCTCATCACATTATCACTAATGAAATATGGGACTTTAAGTTTCAGTAGCTCTGGGGTTGTTTTTAGCTAGTCCAGTCGCTAACTACCGGTTAATAAATTAGGCAAGCATTAGGTGTGTCAGCGAGAAATTGAACCTGGACATTCCTTGTGATTGACGAGTATTCCACCACAGGACCACCGACACACTTTCAATAGAAGAACATGATAAGCTTCGTTTTAGCCATAGTAGTCGCTTTCTTACTAACTTACACGTTTTCAAAATGCTATTGAATGTTTTTTTATTTTAGCGGATGGATTACGGGTTTGTCAGTCGTCAAACAAACTCCGGTAATTGGTGTCATCACACTCCTGGTTGCATGTATGTTCACAGCTGTTACCACAGCGTCGGCTTGGTACTTAATACATGTAAGTTCTGTTTAAAAAATTTTTGAACTTAAACATTCTCCAAGTTGGAGAGTACAGACTTCCTTCTAAATTTTGTGGTCGGAACCAGATTGTAAACAGTGTTATAAGATTATTAATATTACTATCCAAGTGTTCGTTTGCAGGGATTTGACTGATTGGTTACAGGATGTCAGCTCGTGGTGAAATCCTGTAACTAATCAATCAAATTCCTACAAACCAATACTTAAATATCAATGAAATGTTCACTAGCGACTGGCCCTATTCAGATAGGTTCTAGTTGTGACCAGTAGGATACAGCAGGTTGAAGGTGAGGATAGTTACTCATAAAAGAGGACATTGGCTAATGATCGCGCCACGTCGTGAATTGGCAGAAGTTAGAATTCCCGGAGTGGACATTGGATCGGGTGGGTCCCAGTGAGTGGCTTAATGGTCTACGAGCTCGCTAGTCTTGTAACCGGAAAGTCCTGGGTTCGAGCCCGGTGGGTGTGTACTACTGAAGAGTCCCAAATTGGGCCGACGAAGCAGCTGGTTTTCCAATGGTTCTCTAACCGATGTCAGCTAATAATATTATTATTATCATTGAGATGCCTAGAATGCTTGTTGAAGAAATATCTTACTGCTCCTGCCAATTTGGAGATAAGTTCCATTAAGAAACAATTCTACAGGAATGTGAGAGTTGCTTAGATTGGGTTCTTGTATAGTATACACCATTTTGAACTCATACGAGAGAGGAGAATCTGACTTCTGAAGCAAAAATGGTTTTAGTCGGACTAGGAACCATAGTGATTATCACTACCGTTTTCAAATTTATCAAAAATTGTTATCTTAGATATTACAGCTACAGTAACAGTTAAGTACGGTTGTGTTGTCTTTCTTCGAAAAGTCATATGAGAATTAGATCATTTTAAAAGCTATCGGAAGAAAAACTCCAGTAAACGCAAACTAATTTTTTTGTCTCAAACTCTTTTATTTTTACAAACAAGATTCTTCTTTAAATGAATTTGAGATTTTCCCGTAATTGATTGGACCGAAGTGCTCGGTCTCAGGTTGACATGTCGGCTTCTTGTGCATATGCTTCGACGATGTCGGGGCGTTTAATTAGTATTTAATTGGTGGATGGTGACTAGCAGTGGTATCCACGATGCGCATTTCGTGCTATTTGGAAGTCGTCCACCAGTGAGAACTGCGCATCCTGGATTCCACTGCTAGTCACCATCCACCAATTAAATACTAATTAAATGCCCAGGCATCGTCGAAGCATCTTCACAAGAAGCCGACATGTCAACGTGAGACCAAGCACTTCGGTCCAATCAATCGACGGGAAAATCTCAAATTCAATTAAAATAATATGACCCGTTGTTGCACAAGAGGTGGCGTGGCCCTCGTGGCCCAAGTGGTCTAGTGGATAACGCTTTGGCGTTTGAAACTATGGGCACTGGGTTCGAGCCCCAGTGGGAAATGCAGGTACATCCAGCTGGAGGACGAGTCCCAAACAAGACGAAACGCGCATGCTGGATTCCATTGCTAGTCACCATCCACCAATTAAAGATTCTTCTTTAGATTAGCTATAATGGAGAGCATTAAAAACGCCTAACTTCAGATAATATCAAGTATCCTGCTGGTTCAGCAGCCATTTTTTTTATCATTACAGCTCTTGAAACAATATAAAAGAAATTTTCGTTTGTTACTACTAGTTTTTGAAATCTTAAAATTTATCCTATTCTTTGTTCAGTTATGTTTGAATACTATACACCTCTTTCAGGTACATCGCATATATCGCAGCACAGGTGCTAGTTTCGGAAAAGCTAAAGAAGAATTTGCGCATGGTGTTGTAACCGATCCTATTGTAAGGAATAGAGCAATGGAAGCAGGATTATTTGCAGCTCGTCAGGCTGCTTCAGGTGCACCAGCCAGCAGGCCATAATAAGGAAATCCTACAATAATTACCTGACAATTATGATAAAATGGTATTTCGTGTCTGATTTTGGGTTAATTTCCTCCAAAAACAAAAAAGAACCTATCACGTCACGTCAAAGCTCCTAGTATTTCTTGTATTTTTTGCTGTGAGCATTTGTTGTTTGGTGTTGTGTTGAGAATTCTTTTTTTCTTCTTAAAGTATCCCCACATCCAAAGTTGTGTGTGTGTGTGTGTATTCGATGACTCTATCAATGTGTCATAATTTTCACACTTCAATGATATACAACTGTCTTTGTCATTTCTTGTCATTTTTACAAATATAAAAGTCATTTAATGCTTCAAATGTTTTTTTTTATTTTTTAATTATTTTTAAACAATACTCCTGTAATATAGCGTTAGCGATTTCCACATCACCTTTAGCAACTCGTAGTGCGCGGCTAACTTCTTCTATGGGATAGTCTTCCATGTTTGTAAAGCCAACGTCATTGTTACGGGCTTCACTGAAGTAGAAAAACAAGAAGAAACATTTATAACTGCTAAATAAATATATTGCTTTTGAAAATAATGATAGGAGTAATTGTTTTTCATCTGCGATAGTCTTGGAATACGATAAACACTAGACGAAAACGTAGCTGTTGTTGCAGTGATGTGGAGCTTAGGAAACCATGTTCATTTTTGAAATGATAGCAATGAGAAAAATGCTTTTTTGGTCTATATCTAGCAGTATAATCCATGCTGTCGCGATTTTCAAATGTGTAATGAAGTTTAGTACCAGTCGAAATTTTAATGCCTTGATCACAGCTTGACATTGCACATAACAGAACAGATTCATTGATATAAAATTTTCAAACAAAATATTAATAAAATAATATAGCGCGTAATTTGTCAATGATATTGTTAGACGAGTCTCATGTGTGGGCAGCATGCAGGCTGCCCAAATCGCACTTAATCAGTTGGCGATCAGTGCCTGTAAGTATGGTATGCACTTTGCGCTATGTGAAAAGTACTGTCTGTTAGAGAGAGAGGTGTACCTGAGAAATTTGTTAACATCTTGAAAGCCCTATACAGATGCACCTTGGGTAGAGTGAGGGCATACAACCAACTATCATCACTATCATCGAGCGATGCTGGGGACATCACTCGTACCAAATTCCCATGAAACTTCATGAACTCTCTTACAAATTGCCGCGCCTGGGCAGCGATGATTCGAGACGTTCATGAAGCCGGCTCATCCTCCCGTAGGAGATAGCCGAAGTAAAGTAAAAGTAAGTATCATCACTGTTCCCAACCAACAGTGGGGTTAGACAGGGCTGCCCAATCTCTCCATTTCTCTTTAACTTTGCCATCGATGACATTCTGGAGTCAATTCTGAAGGATGTGCGTGAAGGTGGTGTAGATCTTCTACCTGGAGATAGACTTTTCGACCTCGAGTATGGAGACGATATCGTCTTACTGTGCGATAGCATGCAGGCTACCCAAATTGCACTTAATCAGTTGGCGATCTGTGTATGGTATGTGCTTTGAGCCGTCTAAGTGCAAAGTACTGTTACAGGATTGGCAGGAGCCTGTACCTGCACTCACTCTTGCTAGCAGATGAATCGCTTGAAGTTGTTGATAAGTTTGTGTATCTAGGTAGTTGTGTGAGTGCTGGCGGAGGAGTGACGGATGAGCTTTCCAACCGTATAATGAAGGCTAAGGTGGCGTACATCAACTTTAGCCACCTCTGGCACCGTCGCGATGTTAGCCTGACTTACAAAGGTCGGGTATACAATGCTACGGTGCGGGCTGTCTTGCTCTACGCTTGTGAAACCTGGCCTCTCCGAGCTGAGGATGTGCAGCGAATCTGCGTGTTCAGTCATCGCTGTCTCCGCAGGATTGCTTGCGTTCATCATCACATCATCGCGTGAGTAATTCTGAGGTTCTGTAGCGTCTGTTTGAACACAGTAGAGATCACCATTCATTGAATGTCACCACCGGCTCCCGTGGCTTGGACATGTGCTTCGAATGTCATCCCAGAGGCCTCCGTACAGGTCTCTGTTCGCTAGCCAGCCCTGGGACGGGATGGAAAAGGCGGAGGGGTGGTCAGTCCATGACCTAGCGTCGTCAGATGAAGGAAGTTTGTGCTAGATTAGCGTCGATTGGTGTGTCATGACTCCCTGGTTGGGGTCCGCGAGATAGCTCGAATCGATGGCCCGAAACGTTATCGGATATGGCCAAGAATCGTAATCAATGGCGAACGCGCAATGGCAATTTCCTTCTTTCTCGCCTTCCCGATGATAGTTAACGAATACTGTTTGAACTTTTTAAGCATGACTGTTTTCTTTCCAGATGAAGTTATTTATCCGTTCTCTACTTATATCTTTTTTACTTTTGATCTATTTTGTTTTATTATTATTGTGTGGCGCATCTTTCTTGGTGCCATATTGTGCCAAGTTTTTTCTGCATTTAATTAATAATAATAAATGTGTAAATGATAAAATAAAAGTAACAGCAGTCACTTAAGTGGTGGACGTCCAAACAGTTGTGTATGGTGTTTTTGTTAAAAGATATATCACCCGTCGTTTTGTAAACAGATACACTTAGGCAAGGAATATGTGGACGCTGTTTGATGTGTGGCCAAATATTTTGCCAGAGCGATAGAGACCAGATAAATCTCCAAATTTCAAGTGAGCCTTTTGTATTCATGCTAAGATTTCTCCAGGAACATATCAATTAGGACTGATACAACTGCCACAGTAAATGATGTGGCATAAACTGGGAGTCGGTAATGAAGCGAATACCACTGATATACTTTCGAACGGTGTTTAGAATATTTTACATTTTCCCACTGTCTGCTTTCAATACGGTCAGATCGTCTATAACGTGTAGGTCAGTTAGACATCACTCTCATCGAAAGTCGAACAAAGGTCGTATCCATCAGTAAGTTTCTAATACATATAAAATTAGTGACAGTGAACACATTTGGTAGGCACGATTGGTTCGTCACCTCAGACGATGAATCTCTGTAAACTTCAGTGAAATGGTCTGTTTAGCAAGTAATAGTTTGTCACCATTCCTTCTCCATAGTTGTATATTGCCACAAAACCTTTCTGTCAGTGGAGATTGGGTGTCACTTTCAGGTCAAGAAGTGTGACATGTGCCTGTGCTTAGAACTTGTCGATGAGTGAAGATTTAATCAATGCACTTTCATTCTGGAACTGAACTCTGTTTACTTTTTCTCTAGCATATTTTCCCAGAGTTCTACTTACAGTCTTCGTGTGACTTTATACCGCACTGCCTAAAACAACTGTAATTGTCGAGTGGATCCCTCTGTTTTAGTTGGATAGGTGGGTTCTGTGTGTACTGATGAAAGTGTGGGGAAGATTGTTCTCATAGTAGAAATTGAACCATTGAGTCCCAGGAAGTCTCTCATACATTCCATGTTTGATGGTGATGAGATTTTTGGGATCTAATTTTACCGAAATACAATGTTTAGTTGAAGGTAAATTAAACGATTAGGAGATAATAACAGTCAAAGGTTTGGAGATCTCACTTTTAGGCTTTATTTTCTCTCATTGAAAACTGGATACAGATCTCATAAATCCCTGTAGCCAATATTGATAATGAATTATTTTGTAATTCACACTGGAATAACCAACGATATTAATTAAATACCTCTGTACTGCATGAGTACTTTTCATATCTTCTATTCAGTACTTACCTTATTAAGGTCATGAAAAACGTATTATAAACAGCAGAAATCATTCTAAGACGAAAATATAAATCTTACCTGTTGTGTGCTTGTGCCAATAAGTTGCTTTCACTCTGCGCTCCAGATAAGTCTGACAGAAAAAGTAAAATCAGAAAAATGAGTAGTATCCAGAAAGGAAATCATCAGTGTTGTTGATGGATTCATCAAATTTCAATAGAACTCGTCAGCTGAATACTCTACATACACGGATATATATACTCTTGAAATTACATTGGAGATATAAGACATGAAGACTGACAGAAACATGAATTGTCATAAACAGTGGTATAAATTGTAGGCGAAATAAACACTACTTGCTAATACCTTATGTGAATTTGCTCTCCTACACACAGAATCATGAAGGTATACATAGATTTTATTTGAAATAAGTGAACCTTTGAAATAGAATACGTTCAATATAGTGCTCAAAAGTTATACATCACAGTTATGATAAATTGTATAATTAATAACTTAAGGTAGTATTAGTAGCACTATGAAGTAAATGACACGGTGGCAGCTGGTGATAACTGATACTTAGATAGTCAACAACTTCTTAAGGTAGCGTTTAGACACTCAAAATCACTCAGTTAATACTTCATTTAGTCAAAATCCGTGCTTGGTGACAGTACGTTCAGTCAGCCCATAATTAGTGTTTAGCATATTGACCTATAGCGATTCAATGTCTTAAATCATCAACCCAATCTGCAGATGGTGAACTGAAAGGTCAGCGTTTCATATATTGGAGACATAATGTTTTTCACGGAATGGACTAACAAACTGCTTTCAATCTAATTTCTGGTTCTTCGTTTATGGATATGTTTTATGCATTTCGAGTCATCACCTTCCACCTCCAGAAATGTTAGCTGACACATAGCATTAGGCTGGGAAAGAATTAATGGAGATGAGGCGAAAATAAGTATCCATGAAGTCTTTGACTAAGCCACGCAGACTGGTATGGACTGCCTGGCTGGCGTCTTCAAGAGGCTAAGAATCATTGGCTTAAGATTGTTGGCTCAAAGTCGTTGTCAATGGCTCAGACGTGTTCATTTTTTGTTAAAATGAAGGTTCATGAAATCCTCATTAATCTCCATTCACAATTATCATTTGTTTTTCAACTATTGGTTTTGCAGGGATTTTGTTTGATTGGTTGGAAGACTTCATCATGAGCTGAGATCAGTAAGGGAACCATTGGAAAAACTGCAGGAAGTACTGGACAGCTGTTTCATCCTAGTTTGGGATTTTTCATCAGTAAGCACCTACCGGCTTTCAAACCCAGGATCTTCCTCTTACAAGGCAAGCTCGAATGGCCCTATTCAGGCAGTTACCTGGACTTTTTGTGGGAAGCCGTGACCATTAGAGTACAGTAGGTTGAAGGTGAGGCAGTAACTCATCGAAGAGGGCATTGCGAAGTGGTCGCGCTATTTCATGAGTTGACAGAAGTTGGAATTCATGGGCCATTGGACCGGGCGGGTCCCAGTGGCTTAATGGTCTTGGGCTCGCCTTGTAACCAGAACGTCCTGGGTTCGAGTCCGGTGGATTCGGAATACTGAAGGGTCCCGAACTAGGACGCCACAGCTGTCCATTACTCCCAATTGGCTGTCCAATAGTTCTCTAGCTGGTGTCAGCTCCTAATGAAATCCTCCAGTCGATTGTCATCCCATGCGGTTTTGTTTATCGCACCTTCATTGCTTTGTCTTTCTATACTTCTCTATGTGCTTCATTCAGTGAAGCAACCTGAACTGTTTCATATTTGTGCAAAGTCCCAGGTTGATAATTCGTTTTAGTTCAATTTATTAATATGAAGTCTAATAAATCTACTTGTTAATGAATTTTATCAAAAACATATGGTTAAGTGCAAGATACAAATAATAAAAGGTATAATATTTACACATGAACTTACTTAGATTTTGAGAATGTAATCTAATACAGTAAAAATCAAAGTTCAGTGATATATAATTAGTAATAAACACTCAGTTTTATATTGTCAGTACTAAATAATATAATAAATACAATTGAAATTCAGACTGGAAACTAGTCAGTAACTTGTGTAATGTGTCTGCTATTTTGTTTATTGCAGACTGAATTTTATCAGTAAAGTTTGAAATGTGGACAGTGGGCTAGGTGGCTTGCCATCATCACGGTGTACTCTGAATTGTTTATATTAGATGGTTAGACGCAATCGATAGGAAGCCTTGTCTGACCTAGGTGTCGTGCTAGTTAGCACTCACCAGTCAGCAAGGCGTAGAAGGAACATGAATTCCTTCAAGGCAGTTGCATATATGCCTTGCTAGCACCAAACCTAGGTTCAAGAATTCCTACCGGTTGCCTCCAGCTATTTAGGACAGCTGAAATTCAACAAGTGAGCTGTACATTTGAGCGTTACAGTTGCTCACAATGATTTGTAGTCTTATAAACTACTGGAAAATGTATTGCTTTTGAAGTAAAATACGTACTTGCCTATTGCGCATAGACTACATTCCTTATTTTTACGATAAACAGTACATATCACCTTTCCTTCTCCAAACAATACATAAATTGGTGAATCAGCGGAATGCTTTCGATGTCGGTGCTCTATATGAGTCACAAAAAGTAAATTATGAAATTTCCACAGTCATTATTTTAAGTGTTTGCACTGTTATGCTTAATAGTGGGAGTAATAGTGATGACAATGTTTTGGGAATTACTTTTTGCTGTTTTCTTACGACATCAATTCATCATGTATATAGGAGAATTAGACCTGTGTAAATGAACTTAAAATTAGACACTTACTCAGAAAACTGATCCAGTTGACTTTCCGTACGATCAAGTTTGGTACCTATTTAAGAAATAAGAATAGGTAATGCAAGGTGAGCAATGTATGACAATCAATTGATAAATGTTTCGCGTTAGACCACGGATTGATATCAGTTAGAGAGCCACTGGAAAACTTATGGGTACTGCACAGCTATTTCATGCTAGTTTGGGACTTATCGGCAGTACGCACCCACCACTAGGCTTCGAACCCAGGACTTTCCGGTTACAAATCAGGCTGGTATATATGTTTTGTTATTGTAAGGGTTAGCTCTTAAATCTTTTAAACTAACAGTTTTAATGAAATAAAAAAATGTTAATTCACTTGATAGCTGACAATAGGATGACAATCTGTTAGTTATTTCAAATAGTCTGTGTATAACAACGAACTTTCATATCAATTTGAATATTATTATGACCTTAAATCACCTTCGTCACTATGAGGCATTAAATAAACCACCGATGATATTGGTTAGTGGTCGTGCTAAATCACGAGTTGGTAGAAGTTAGAATTCATGTGTTGGCCATTGAATCGGGTCCCAGTGGATGAATGGTATACGAGCTCGCTTGCCTTGTAACCGGAAGATCCTGGTTTAGAACCCTGGCAGTGGGTGAGTACTTCCGATGATTCCCAGTCTAGGATGAAACAGCAGCTGTGCAGTACTCTCTGTGGCTGGTTTTCAATGATTCCCTAACTGATATCAATCCGTGGTCAAACTCGTAAACATAATTGTATCTATGTAAACTTATGTATATAAATGCGATTTTACAGCTTTTGAGAATGAAATCGCCGAAAAATTATCTTTGCTAAACTTCTTGTTCTTTTCCCTATAACAACGAATTAAAAACAACAAAGTATTTTTCACCGACGTTCCTCTATCTGTTGGCAATAGCTTTAAGTAATAGTAAAGCAAGAATTTAGAATACCAACGTTTGTATATTAGTCACTGCAGCAAAGTGCGAGTCATGAATCATTCTACCTTATCAAGTAATTGGTGATGTGTGTATTTGTGTGAGGTGTAACTGTTATCCGAATGTGTGTAGACAAAGTTAGATGAGATTGGACAGAAACCAAATTACAATATGTTTGATGACTTTATTTCCACATAGACTATTCGAATTACATTTTGTATAGTTTCTGAAGCATTTATTTGCTTTCAAAATCAACTTCATGGTATGCTGATATGTTAAAAGGGTTACAGCTTAAAATATCTCCAAATTCTTTGAATTCTATTAGGTTTCCAAACCAAGGCTGACGAAAACATTTTACTCTATGTATACTACGTTGCAGTGTCAGCATTTTATTTTAAAAACATATTTACACTAGGACACTTGGTATTCTGTTTAACATTCAGTAAAGATCCCTGATTTCATCTATATGAGTCCCATTTTAATTACCGTTTTCTAAATAATCATCCCATCGTTTTAATGAATTTTAAATGCCAGTTTACACATTTAACTAACTGACCTATTAATTCACCTAAAGAACATCTATGTTTTGATGTGGTTTTGTTCTCTGAGCTGGATAGTTAGTTTGCGAAGCTTTCATCACCTTACTGGGTGACATCTTCAGCGCATACTTCAAATTGAAGTGAGCTTTTAGGTTTCTCCACGAGTTTATTAATCATTCCTCCTGGTGACCTTGGACGTGATTGGTTGTTTATGTATGTTTTCACACCTTCTAGGTTACTTGTGTTGGAACTGATTGTTTCTGTGACTTGAACTTTGGCCAATCGTGTGTGAAGTTTCTTTCTTATTGGTTGATAAATTTTGTCTATCTCGATGTGTCTATTGATTGATGATTCACTGGAATGCCAGACAGGCTTCTAAAAATTCTCTAGCATTCTTGTTATTTCCTTTGTCTAATATTTGAACGTTGTCCCAGTCGAATTGATGTCCGTGGTTGTCTGTGTGTAGTGAAATGAGGGAGTGTATATCATGTCTTTTGACGGCTAGCTTATGTTCGTGGATACGAAGACGAAGGGGACGTCCACTTTGGCCAATGTAGTGTTTTTCACAGTTGTTACAGTTTATTTTGTAGATGATGTTGGTTTTGTCTTCTTTTGCTGTTGAGTCTTTTGGTTGACATAGAATTCTATGTCAACCAAAAGACTCAACAGCAAAAGAAGACAAAACCAACATCATCTACAAAATAAACTGTAACAACTGTGAAAAACACTACATTGGCCAAAGTGGACGTCCCCTTCGTCTTCGTATCCACGAACATAAGCTAGCCGTCAAAAGACATGATATACACTCCCTCATTTCACTACACACAGACAACCACGGACATCAATTCGACTGGGACAACGTTCAAATATTAGACAAAGGAAATAACAAGAATGCTAGAGAATTTTTAGAAGCCTGTCTGGCATTCCAGTGAATCATCAATCAATAGACACATCGAGATAGACAAAATTTATCAACCAATAAGAAAGAAACTTCACACACGATTGGCCAAAGTTCAAGTCACAGAAACAATCAGTTCCAACACAAGTAACCTAGAAGGTGTGAAAACATACATAAACAACCAATCACGTCCAAGGTCACCAGGAGGAATGATTAATAAACTCGTGGAGAAACCTAAAAGCTCACTTCAATTTGAAGTATGCGCTGAAGATGTCACCCAGTAAGGTGATGAAAGCTTCGCAAACTAACTATCCAGCTCAGAGAACAAAACCACATCAAAATTATCCACCTGAGCTACAAATCTTCTCTATCATATCTAACATCTATGTTGTTAGATGGTTAGAAGCAATCGGCCACAGGAAGCCTTGAACCTAGGTTTCGTGCTTGTTGGGACTCACCAGTTAGCAAGACATATCTGCAACTGCAACTCATATCCCTTCTGAGATTCGAACCCATATCATAGAGTGCTGCAGTCAGAGACGTTAACACTGAGCTATCTCTGCTCGTGATTGGCCTAGACACATAACACTAGACGTCCGGTCGATGAAGAAGACTCATGGGACCCTAGAGAGATCAATATATCGGAAGCCTCAGTGGAACGGCCACCTGACGAAATTTTACAGTTGGGTACCCATCAATCGCAAGAGGAACCTGATAAAATCTCTTGCTACCAGAATCCGTAGAATTTGCAGTCCCGAATCAGTAGAAGAGGAAATCACTTTTGGGAGGAAGACGCTAGTTAAGAGTGGCTTTATAGATAAGTACATTTGTGGGCATCGGTGACACAGTGGCTAAGACTCTCACCGACCATGCACATGGTCCGAAGTTCGATCCCATGCCGACGTACACCTGATATCTGTGGTCGGCCTGCAAAATTTGGGCTACCGATATGATATGCTGAAAATTCCATACTTGTACCAAAAATACAGTGTGGAATCAAACTGTAATCAAAAAGTAAAAAAAAATTTAAATTTAAAACCGAAACTCAACAAAGAACAACTCATCTCTGTGCTGAAGAAGATGCTGTACATGAATGTGGCATTCATGGCCGACATCTTAAAAAGAAGAATATCTAACGCCCTGAAAAGAACATTCCCTGCTGCTACATTATGATTGGTATTATCAGGCTGCTCATTGTTCTTCAACAACTCCAAAAACAAACTGTCGCATTTGACCACTTCTTTGTGTATCCACCAGTTTACTTGCTCATGTGGAGCGAGCGAGATATATAGGTCGTTCGACGCGTGTTCCATCCAAAAGAGTCAAAGAACATTATGCCGCTTGACTACGAAAAGGTAACAGTGAACCAATAAGGGGTACTATAATTAACATTTATTCACCACTGGCCATTCAGTATGCAAGGGGAATCCATTCAAAGTCATCTACGAAGTCAAAAGAAGCCTGCCGAAAACCGTAATTTTCCGTATGCTTTGAATTGACGAGGCCTCAGCGATCCGGGTAGAAAACCCTACTTTAATCACACAGAAGTTACTTCTCTACCCCCTCCTTCTACCTTGGCTGGTGTAATCCAAGTTCTACGATTTTGTTAATAATATTTGTTTTCGTTTTTTTTTCAGTTTTTGTATGACGTCTTAGTAACATATTCTTAACCAACCCTTTATTTACTCTTTCTACCCATTACGTAATTTGTTTGGGACATGTGTCTCCATCAACGTCCTATTTCATATTACGCAGCCCTCGGCAATACTTACCAATCTTCACTCTCCCCCTAGTTACAATTTTTGTCATTCATCACACTTTAGAAACACTTTGGTGACGTTAACAATAACCCTAACTAATTTTTATTTTTGTTTGATAATCCTAATGTACACACACACACACACACAAATTAATTACATATAAATACGATTGTACAGTTAATTGAATGAATTCACCGAAAAGATACCCTTCGCTAAACTTTGTTGTTCTTATATTCATTTCTGGATGGGTATTTTCCGTGAACACTAGTTACTGTTCAGTGAAAAGTATCCAATACAGTCCTACAGGAGGTCAATCGCCAGCCCCAATAGCTCAGTGGTTGGTAACGTTTATGGCTGCAGGACTAACTGGGTGACACAGATTCGAATCTCAGAAGGGACATGAGTTCCTTCAAGGCAGTTGCAGATATGCTTTACTGACTGATGAGTGCCAAAAAACACGAAACCTGGGTGCAAGGCTTCCTGTGGCCGATTGCCTCCAACCATCTAATATCAACAATCCTAAGTGTAGCGTGATAACGAGCCACCTAACATGGGGCCTACATTGCCAACGTAACTGACAGAATTCAGTCTACAGTCAACAAAGGACTAGACATATGACACCAGTTAGTGTTCAATCAAAACATCTCTGTGTTATTAAATCCATAAGTAACGCGTATCTATAAGAAACAGTGGAGAACTAAAAGAGTAGTGTATTTTGAAACTTCTATCTTTACTTACCCTGTCTTTTTTCATGACTAATCATCACCAAGACAATTTCCACTTTCACACTTTTAGTTTTTAATTAGTTTGTTTATTTAGTAGTGAACAACCCAATCTACTATGGCAGAGTTTACATATATAAATGGATTAAGTTACAAGTATGTTCACTTTCAGCTTATTTATGACGTAAATTTGTACAAATTCCTACAGTCACTTTTGTCATATAGCAAGTAATTTTAGAAAGCAAATAAATTTTCCAGTTTATATATAAAGCAATGACTGACTGATTTTTTGAGTAAATTGAGTCTATTTGAATCAGAAACAGCAATTATAAGATGAATATAACATATCGCTATTTCATATGCCCCACTTCTCTACGGTTGTAAAGTGGTATACAAAGTCAGAAAAAAGATGAATAAACACTGAGTCGTATAACATCGAATTTATAAAACCAACACCTGAAAATTCATCTGATGCTCATTAGCGACTGGCCTTATTCGGGCAGTTAACCTGGGGTTCTAGTGGGAAGCCGTGACCAGTAAGCTACAGCAGGTCGATGATGGGGCAGTAACTCATCGAAGAAGACATTGCAAAATGGTCACGCTATGTTGTGAATTGGCAGAAGTTAGAATTCAAGGGCCATTAGATAGGGTCCCAGTGGCTCAACGGTCTATGAGCTCGCTAGCCTCGTAACCAGAAGGTCCTGGGTCGAACACCGGTGGTTGCATGCTGATGAAGAGTCCCAAACTAGGACAGGGGAAACAGCTGTCCAGTACTCCCACCTGTTTTCCAGTGGTTCTCTAACTGATGTCACGTCATAATGAAATCCTTCATTCAATCAAATGTATTTTAGTCAACACGTTGGTGTCAAGTAATCTAAATCTCCTAAACTAGGACTCAGAATAGCAATAAGTGATAGCATATTATCTATATTCAATCCCTGAAGAAGAATCATATGTCATTTGTGATATAAGCGGAGCAGTTTCGTGGCATCCAAAGGAACCTTCTTTTTTATCTTCAGGAGAGAGATTTTTTTCACTTAATAAGCCATCCCAGCTTATTGGTTTTAGTAGAACAAAGACTATGTTGAAGGCTAACGCAACGTCGGTGGCACAGTGGTTAGGACTTCCACCGACCATGCACATAGTCCGGGGTTCGATCCCCTGCCGACGCACACCTGATATCTACGATCCGCCTACAAAATTTGGGCTACCGATATCATATGCTGAAAATTCCATACCTGTACCAAAAAATACAGTATGGAATCAGGCTGTAATAAAAAAAAAGATTGAAGCTTCACATAAAGGAACATTTTTACTGGTGTATACATTGTAATATATAAGAAACAGTTCACTGATTAACTTGTCATTTTTTAAATTTTTGATTACAGCTTGATTCCACACTGTATTTTTCCTACAGGTATGGAATTTTCAGCATATGATATCGGTAGCCCAAATTTTGCAGGCCGACCATAGATATGAGGTGTGCATCGGCAGGGGATCGAAACCGGGACCATGTGCATGACCGGCGAGAGTTATAACCGCTGTGCCACCGACGCACAGCATCAGCTTTGAAAGTAACTGGAGCTCATACAGTGTTGTTATTTGTAAATTTTGATTTTAAAAGGATGCTAAAAATTTAAAAATAATGATAAAGACAAGCAACAGAAGGTTAATAATGCAGGACTTAATGAATTCATCGAATTTCGGTAATGCACCATCATTGGATCATGATCGAGCACTTGTTAAACCGTTTTAAGTAAATTCAGCACAAAACCACACTATTGATTGGAACAATGTTGGTATTCTGAAAACTAATATTAACAAATGGAAAGAGAGAGACTTATAACAAAATCTATATTCATTAAGGTCACACCGGATACATGTAACAAGGGTGACTCAGCACCTCAACTGTCAACAACCTAGAATATAATTCTGAATACACACAAAAATGAATGAACAAAAATAGAGTGAATTATGTGTATGACTACAAATCATAAATGCGTGAATTTAAAAAAAAATAATTCCAACAATTGATGTGATCATGGGTCGCAAATTTTGCTCAAAATATTACAGAAAACAAAATCTGATGATTGTTTGTAAACTATTGAAATATAATTATAATTTATTTGATCCGATCCACGATGCTCAAACTTTTTACTGACATTAATGTTTTAAAACACCTAAAGTTAAAATGCCACGAGGTTCAATAACAAAGCATCTTGTAGACTACGAACATGATATTTACCAATGTCAAGAAAGATGCTTGCAATAGCTGGAGATTGTACAATTTGCGTTTATAAACCAGTTCTCTGTGTGCAACGGGAAATGGTGTTCACCCTGAATCTACCATGATAATATGTTTTACTTATTAACTACTATTATAATTATTGTTATTTTTTTGATTTACAGCTTGATTCCGCACTGTATTTTTGGTACAAGTATGGAATTTTCAGCATGGATATCGGTAGCCCAAATTTCGCAGGTCGACCATAGATATCAGGAGTGCGCCGGCGTGGGCTCGAACCCCAGACCGTGTGCATGGTCGGCGAGAGTCCTAACCACTGTGCCACCGACGCATATTATTACAATTAATATTATTAACATATATGTAAAACTTGGGCACTGTGGTAGTAAGCAGTAATTCTATATTAGTTTGTTTATTAGATGTATCATACAGTGAGTGAAACAGTATTATTTACTGGATGATAAAGTTTCGAACAAAATTTATTGTTCATAATCATTTCGTCAGTTATAATCACACGACTTCGAAACTTGAGTTTTATAGTTTTCAGCTATAGCACACAACCATACAATAGGATGGATGGAATAGGATGACAGTTTTTCAAATCTAATGTCACAGGATGAAGGAAGAGATTGATAACAACGGAAGCTTTGTTTATCGAACCAACTGCAAATCAACACGTGTAATAGGAATGATTCAACACCTGTCCCACGTATCTGGAAAATTTTACTACCCCTAAGACGATGAATAGGAAAGAATAAAGAGAACTATAAAACGAAAGTTTCCAAGTTGTGTGGTTATAATTGATATGATTATATGAACAGTCATAAATTGTGTTCAAAATCTCGTCATTCGGTATTTAATACTCTTTCACTGTGTGATGCATCTAATAAACAAACTAATATGAATATTATTATTACTTTATTCTACCTCTTATTATTATTATTACTGATTCATTTAAAACTATCTTTAATCAGTGGCATCATCTTAACTCGTTTCAACATTATTATTATTATCATTATTGATTTTAATATATTAATAATTTTATCCTAATTTTAGTCTCTCATACTCCCTTCCCCTTATCTATTTGAATATGACCTAGAAAACATTCATACACGCGTCGTTTCGCATGATTAATTCAATGTAGTTTATTTGCTTATCAGTTTTATATCTCCCAATGTGTTTCTAATAATATATATATATATATATATATATATATATATATATATATATCCCTGTATGTAGAGTATTTAGCTGAAGCTGAGTCCTGCCGAAATTTGAGGAATTCATTAAATCCTGCTTTATTAACGTTTTGTTGCTTATATTTTTAAAATTCGTATAGGAAAATAAAATGTTTCCAGCGATAAAGACATTAAATAGTAACATTACAGAACTCACATGCAGGGTTGATTGATACACTGGAACTGTAAAGGTATCGAAAGATATCAACATTATGCCATTGAAACATTATTCTAACGATGTTTAATTTTTATTATGAAAGGACTATGTTATACACAAAAAAAAGACTACTTTATACTACTCATCAATAAAAGAAATGAAAACAAGAATTTTCTATAGTTTGGTTTGTAAGGGTTAGTTATGTTTTTTTTTACGAGTTGATCACGGATTGATATCAGTTAGAGAACTATTGAAAACCATCACTGGATTACTGGACAGCTGTTTCATCCTAGTTTGGGAATCATCGGAAGTACGCACCCACTACCAGGATTGGAACCCATAACCTTCTGGTTACAGGGCAAGGCTGTATACTATTCAGCGACTGGGACTCGATTCACTGGCCAGCACATGATTTCTGACTTCTACCAACGACAATGGTTGGGGTTGCGCTAAATCACGAATTGGTAGAAGTTAGAATTCATATGCTGGGCATTGAATCGGTTCCCAGTGGGTGAATACTGCCGATGATTCCCAAACTAGGATGTCCAGTACTCCCTAGTTTTCAATGCTTCTCTAACTGATATCAATCCGTGATCAACTCGTGAAAGCAAGAATGCAATACAGTTTCTATTTATCTATTTATTTATTTTGATTACAGCTTGACTCCACACCGTATTTATGGTACAAGTATGGAATTTTCTGCATGTGATATCGGTAGCCCAAATTTTCCAGGCTGATCATAGATATCAGGTGTGCGTCGGCAGGGGATCGAACGGTCGAACCATTAGCATGGTCGGTGAGAGTTCTAACCACTGTGCCACTGCATTACTTATAATCTACTCATGTATCAACAGTATCTAAAGTGTATTACAACATTAGATGAATGAAATGAATTCAAGTCAGATTATAATTGATAAGAGTTAACTTTTTATAATGATATGCAATAAGAGGTCGGTGTTAAGAGAGAGAAAAAAGGAAGTACTACAACAACAACATCACTGATCAATACAAAAATACACTTTGTATTGAGAGGTTTATTGGCCTTAATAAAAATTCAATCAATAATACAGTCTTTGATTGTACTTGTGTAAAATAGAAGTCAACTAGAATTATCGACAGTTGGCTGGCTGACTGCCTGACTCGGTGGCTGGCCGGATACACAAACTGTTAGTATGGAGAATAATATCAACAGAATTATAACTTAGTATTTATTTAACAATTTTTATTTTTATTTATTTTAAATAACGTAAAATTGGATTGAATAACAATTATTAAGCAGCTTAATAACAAGTTATTTCGATATCATGGATATATACATATAGATCTAAATATACAATGACATTCATAAATCGATAGATTTAGTTTATTCTATAAATAAAACCAAAAATATGTATTATTCTAATAAAGTTTAGTTTTTACTAGAACACTGCATTGTTTTAAGCGTCATGAGACCATATTCATATACGCACACACATCATTAATCTATACATAACTGAGATATAGACTGATCAAGTATCAATTCATGCTAGGAATGTTGTCCTTGAACATCTAATTACAATTTTAATGTTGATTATATTAAAATACTTTAGTTGATTCGATTTATATTAGCTATAATAAAATGTTTATCGAAATAGCTCGTATGGTAATAAACATGTAAAGACACACTATTATTCATACACATATAAGGATGGTAACGGTAACTCAATAAAAATTCACAGTCATTTACAAATTGATTGAGTAAGTAAAGTCATAACACATTAACATTGTGGCATGATTTGGGTTGATAGGAGTCAGCCTAACCTGAAACCAACGCTTTAATTCAGAGACACAAGTGGTTGTTTATACCTCAAATCTGGCTTTAGTTTATGTTTTGGAAATGAAATAACCTCCTCATTGGATAACTTGTTTAACCTTGGGCCAACTGTCAGCCAATCAGAGAAATTTATTCTCCTCCTACCATGCTGTTATTTCATATTACATATATATATATATTTTTGTGGTCTTTGATGATGCTTTCTTGTTGATGTTATGACTCGAGTTTAAAGACTTTTTGATGGAATTTTGAGGGCATCCATTCTTTTTGAAGATGGTTAGTAGGCATTTTACCTCCATTCTCTTCAATATCGGTGGGTTACAGTATGTCTGAACTCTTTTAAACAATGTCTGCACGCACTTTCTTTTGTGCGTAATTACTCACGGCTAGAACAGCCAGACTGTTTGAAATAGATATAGCACACAAACCAGCCAGGTAGCCAGCACAATCACTTCATTCGATATTGTGCAAACCAAAAGATCCAGCAGAAAAAGAAGATAAAATTAATACCAATTACAAAATAAATTGTGTGAACTGCAATAAACATTACATCGATCGAAGCAGGCGTCCCTTTTGAATCCTCATTTAGGAACACAAATTGGCTGTAAAAGGACATGATAAGTACTCTTTCATTCCCATGCATGTAGATAATTACCGACACAAATTCGACTGAGATTAGGGAGAAATGTTAAACACAGGAGACACCAAAAATGCAGTCAGGAAATTTCTAAAAGCCTGGTACTTAAATGGATCAACCAGCGATTAACAAACACATTACTATAAACCAAATTTACTAGCTAATAAAAAGTAAATCACATGACAAAAGGTTCAGATTCCAAGTCAATAAAAATGGTCAATAGAGACGTAAACTAACCACCACTCACGACAGTGGTTGCCAGGAGATACAATTACATTATTCATGGAGAATTTAAATAAGCTCATTCCATACTAAAACCTACTATGAAAATGTTGTCTCTGCGGACAACGAAAGCTTCGCAATTAAGTCAGCCAGCCCAGAGGACACAAGCAATATAGAAAATATGATGAGTTTTTCTTTAATAAAGGTCTTATACCAAGTCTATTATCTTCTCTCGTTACAATATTTCTCGTTTGAAATTTGCTGATGACCTACACCTGGTTCACACTTGCAAATATTCTCTTCACACATTATAATTAATTTACAGGATTTCATTGTGAGATGGCATTAGTTAGAGAACCATTGGAAAACCTGGGAGTGCTGGACAGCTGTTTCGTCCTAGTTTGGTACTCTTCACCAGTACGCACCCACCGTGATTGGAACCCAGGTAGGTGCGTACTGATGAAGAGTCCCAAACTAGGACGAAACAGCTGTCCAGCACTCCCAGGTTTTCCAATGGTTCTCTAACTAATGCCATCTCACGATGAAATCCTGTAGACCAATCAAATCCCTACAAACCAACACTTGAATTATAATTAACTTAACCTTGAACTGAGTGTGCAAACAAAGGGTGTAGAGGATTTCTTTGAAATTATAGCCTTCTGCATTATCAAAGTGAACTTGTTTCTCAACATATATATATATATATATATATATATATATATATATATATATATATATATATATATATATATATATATATATGAGAGATCACCTAACTAGCCTATTTATAATCAGTCAGTTCACATTTCTGAAGACTCCAAATAAAACTTTTTATTTAGTGATAAATTCTATAATTACTTAACAGGAGCAGTATATTATTTTTGAAGTAGTATAATTTTATAAGCAGTGAAGGAGATTGAACAAAACAAAGTGTAGTGCTCATATGATACCTCAGCGTTACTAAACCATTTAAGCTGTAATAGTGTAGCACTTTGATTAAGCAATTCCGTTAGTAGAACAATGTTAGATGGTTGGAGACAATCGGCCATAGGAAACCTTCGACCGAGGTTTCGTGCTAGTTGGCTGACACTCACCAGTCAGGAAGGTGTATCTACCACTTCCTTGAAGGAACTCATGTCCCTTCTAAGATTCGAACCCGCATCTGCACTGAACTAAGGAGTAGACACATTACACTAGTTACTAAATAGTGTCCAGTCGAAAGTATCCAGTACAGTCCTACAGGAGGTCAATCGCAAGCCGAAATAGCTCAGTGGTAATGTCTCTGACTGCTGGTGGCACTCAGTGACGCAGGTTCGAATCTCAGAAGGGACATGAGGTCCTTCAAGGTAGTTGCAGATACGCCTTGCTGACTGGTGAGTGACAGCCAACTAGCACGAAACCTAGGTCGAGCAAGGCTTCCTGTGGCCGTCTGCCTCCAACTATCTAATATCATCAAATCAGAGTGCACGGTGATGGCTAGCCACCTTGCATGGTGACCACACTGCCAACGTGAATGACAGAATTCAGTCTGCAGTCAACATAGGACTAGACACACTACACTAGAACAATGTGTACACTAACCTGAACAAACTAAGAAAAACATTAGGACTTCAGAACACTTAAACTTACTTTACTTATATTGTACACAATAAACAACTCTTAAGACTACAGGTCAGCAGTAAGCATTTACAGAGAGAATGAATAATGGATGATATGAGAACAGATATTCAGAATTGATAGACAACTGTGATTAAAAAAAAGCATTAGGAGACTAAACAACAAACTCAACAAAAACGTAAAATCTTTCAAGATTACTTATCTATAAAAGAAACTTGCAACACTATTCTTAAGGCATGAGTAAAAAAGAAACTTTAAAGTTACCTTTTCTCGTTAAAATCTGAAGGTAAAGTCAGAGTTAGACCTGTAATTCAATAAGCAAAAAATGTAAAACTTGGAATTTGTATATTACGCATCATTCGACTTGAGCTTTTGATGAAAAATATGTTAGTTGCACAGGGAAAATTTGTGAAACCAGATGATAGTATGGTGAAATACAAAAAATACTTTTGATTTTAGGCTATTCTATTTATAAGTTCTAAATCAGTTTGTTGACACTTGTTTTAAATACCTGAAATTTTGACTTTACTAGGCCGAAGTGCTTGGTCTCTGCTGACACGTCTACACTCCTAATACAGACGATTCAATGATATCTCGAGGTAAACTTGACGTTATCTGACTGATTTATATCAAGCAGTAGCCTTGGAAATAATGGGTGTGTGCCTTGAATTGCACTGCGATGTAGCTGAATCTAACTGACGAGACTAAAGTAGGATGAAGCATGCGCGCCCTTTATCGCATTGTCAAACACGAGAAATAAAATAATATCCACCGCCTATCTATCTGAACAACTCTTCAGACATCTGATTATATAGAAACCATCCTCTTCGTGAAATCCACCTGCCGCTTCCTTCGAGAAAGGCATAGTATGACTCATATAAATTTAATGGGAGATATTTTCAGTCTAAATATTCATTAACGAACTATGATAATCAACAAGTTTTTTTGACAACAATGATTATTTTTTGAGTTCTATTCCTTCAAAAATCCGAGTGGAACATAGGACTTCAAGCTTCAGCACTGGAGTTTCAGTAGCAGTGGCTTTATTTTTACGGGGTATGATTGCTAGCATCACGCCCTACCCTACCCAACCCATCTTTACTGGGATTACTACCAGCTTAGCAGGGTAAACGGAGTGCGTCGGCCAAGAATCATACCCTGGAACACACACTCGTGGTTGGCGGGCATTCTACCGCTGAACCACCAACGCAACAATGACTATATTAGCTTATTTCTGAGAAGCTGTTAAACGTCACTTGTAATAAATAAATAAATAAATAAATAAAATCTGTTTAGACTTCAGTATTAAGAAAAATAACAGGTTATTATTATTACTAATCAAGAAATAATTATTCTCTGTAATGACAGAAGACAAGGGCCAGGCAACAGGCCGTTTATTAAGGAAATCAACATATATTCATAGTTTTCCATGTACATTATTACAGGCTATTGTTAGCAGAGAAAAAACGTCTTGTGATTGGTCGTTTTTTCTCACTTTAAGTTATTCTGTCATCTCTCTGTGGGCGTTTCTTTCCCGACCGAAAGCTGCTACCTTGACGTGGTGGTCGGGCTTGAACACCGCAATGACCTAATCAAGCTATACTGGCTGAGACTTATGTCTCTTGAGGTTCTACCATGCCAGGCAGGTTGTTTGGATAGCGGTTAAACAAAAAGCAGCTACCCAATCCAACATCATGTCCAATACAAAATTACAAAATTTCATGCCGGATCGGCCGTGGCCCGGATTAACAACGACCGCGCTTCCTGCTGCCGTGTCACAGGGCGGGAGTGATAAATCTGCTACTGAGACACACCAAACAAAAAGAACAAAGAAAAACAGGCCGCGTGTGACCGGCCTCAAGCAGTTGTCCCCTGGGCTCTGCGGTCACGCAACCAACTTCCACGGTGTGGGCAGCCGGGAAGTAACAATCGCCCTCACAATCCGAAATGCACACGAAACCTCTCTATTACTCACTCATCTTTGTCTTCATCTTCATCTCTATCATCTTGCCTTCCTTCCACTGATGCAACTCCTCGACTTGATAGCTCTCCACTTCCTCTCCACTCTGCGTCCACTAAAAACGATGGAAGCCAAAAAACCACCACCGACAGCCTCTTAAAGCCGCGCCACCAATTTCATATAGGAGCTCTTAATGTTAGGACACTTTGCCAAATAGGACAACAAGCATCACTAGCCAAGACCCTGGCATCACGAGCCATTGATGTATGCTGTGTTTCAGAAACACGCATACAAGACCCAAGTGTGGTTATTCACCTAACCCCACCTGGCCAACAGGTTGAATCTGCAAAATTCACCTTGAGGGTGTCAGGAGATGCCACAGCTAGTTCACGAGGATTAGCTGGCGTAGGGATAGCTTTGAGTACTAGGGCAGAAAAGACATTGCTTGACTGGATCCCGGTAGATAGCCGAATGTGTGCTGTCCGCCTGAACGGATCAGTAAGAAGGAGGAAGGACTGCACTACTCGCCGATGCCTTTTCGTAATCTCCGCCTACGCCCCCACTGACTGCAGTTCAGATGAAACGAAGGATGAGTTCTACCAAAAGCTGTCTAGTTTGGTGAGAAAGGCTAAACGCTCAGACATAGTCGTTCTAGCTGGTGACTTTAACGCTCAAGTAGGGAAATTGTGTCAATCTGAGAAGGATGTCGGTGGCACCTATGGAGTTCCGTGCCAGCGAACCGACAACGGTGACCGTCTCCTACAGTTCTGCTCTGATAATCATTTGTTTCTTGTAAGCACTAACTTCAAACACAAGGAGAGACACTGTTTGACTTGGAGACCCCCTTCATCAAACCAACGCTGGACACAAATAGACCACATAGCAATAAGCTATCGTTGGCGTGGGTCGGTAGGAGATTGTCGCTCCTTCTGGAACACGTGCGTAGATACCGACCATGCACTGGTCCGCGCTCGGGTGTGCTTACGACTGAACGGACGTAGGAAACAGCTGGCGGTAAAACCATCACGTCCCCAGCTCGATCAGGAAACTAAATCCGTATTTCAGGAAGAACTAGCTAAACACATATCTGTGTTCGACAGCTGTGCTCACCCTGAAGAAGCTTGGAAAAATATCCAGGCAGCCATAGATACAGCTGTAAAAGCTGTGAATAAGGTAAACCCAAAGGTGAGTAAAAACCACTGGATCTCCACCGCCTCATCCGAACTGATAGATGCTAGAAGACTTATTCCGGCGAGCTCCGAATTCAATGAGGAGCGAAAGCTGCACAAGAGGAAACTTACGAAAAGTCTCCGCAAGGACCGTGAACAGTGGTGGGCGACAAAAGCCAAAGAGATGGAGAAAGCTTTGAGGATAGGCAACACCAGGCAACTCTTTGGACTCATCAGGGAAACGGGTGGGAGAAGACAAATCATTAGTGAGACAATCTCGGAAAAAAATGGCACTATAATTAGCTCACAGGATAGACGACTGGATCGTTGGAAAGAGCATTATGAGGAGCAGTTTAATTTGCCCACAGCCACGCTCAACCTTCCGAGCATCCAACACCTCCCTGAATGGGATATAGATACAGGTCCTCCGTCACTAACTGAGGTTACTAAAGCTGTCACCAATCTGAAACTAGGCAAAGCAGCGGGACCTGATGGAATGACGCCAGAGGTATTTAAGTACGGTGGAGACAGCTTACTGTCCGGATTAACTGAGGTACTAGGCAGCGTTTGGGAATCAGAAGAAGTCCCATCGGGTTGGTGTAAGTCACTGATTATCCCCATATACAAGAAGGGAGACAAGTCTTCCTGTGATAATCACAGAGGGATTAGCTTGACTAATATAGTATCTAAAGTCTTAGGCTCAATAATCATGCGTAGACTGAGTGGTGCTCGGGAAGCACAAACACGAGAGAGCCAGGCAGGCTTTAGACCAGGAAGAGGGTGTATTGATCATATCTTCACCCTCCGACAGATTCTAGAACATAGGCATTCCTACCGGCGTCCAACAGTCATTATATTTCTTGACCTAAAGGCAGCATTCGACTCTGTCGATCGGGAAGTTCTCTGGAGATGCTTGGCTGTAAAGGGAATTCCGAGAAAATATATTGCACTGATTAAGGCACTCTATTCGTACTCATACAGCCAGGTGAGGGCTTACGGCGAGCTGTCATCTGAACTGATGACGACCAGTGGTGTCCGTCAAGGATGCCCATTATCTCCTTTTCTATTCAACTTCATCATAGATGTGTTAATGGACTTAACCCTAGGTGACTTCAGCGATTCAGGGATTGACTTGCTACCTGGGAATAATCTCGTTGACTTGGAATATGCAGACGATATAGTCCTTCTAGGCGAAGACGCTGACAAAATGCAGAGTCTTCTAAACACCTTGAACAGCAATCTACGAATGTTTGGCATGCGATTCGCTCCCGCCAAATGCAAGATGATGTTACAGGACTGGACTACATCGACGCCTAGTTTAAAAATAGGAAGTGAAGTGGTAGAGCACGTTGACCGCTTCACTTATTTGGGAAGTACCATCAGCCCCAACGGGCTGATCTCTGACGAAATCTCAGCACGAATACAAGGGGCTCGTTTCGCATTTGTTAGTTTACGCCGACTCTGGCGTAGACGAGATGTTCGACTATCGACCAAAGGGCGGGTGTACTGCTCATCAGTCCGCTCCGTCCTCCTTTATGGTTGTGAGACCTGGCCACTGAGAGTGGAAGACATGAAAAGACTAGCTGCCTTTGATCATAGGTGCCTGCGTTCTATTTCCCGTGTAAAGTGGCATAATAAGGTGAGCAACATGGAGGTTAGGCGTAGAGTTCTAGGTAAACAGGGGAAATCAATCGACGAAGTCGTGAAGCTACATCGACTGAGATGGTTAGGACATGTGTTACGTATGCCAAGTCATCGCCTCCCTCGACGAGCTATGTTAGCGGATATAGGGTCAGGCTGGAAAAAAGCTAGCGGCGGTCAAACAAAAACTTGGCATCAGTCAATGAAATCCACAACAGTTGGTCTTAGCCACGTAGGAAGGTGTAGACTTCCAGGCTGGGGTCCTCGGGACGGTAAAAATCTATGGTTGGAAACAATTGGTGACATGGCTCAAAATCGTTCTCAGTGGCGCAGATGCATCCACTCCCTGTGACTTATGATCTTCAATGAAACTGTTTTGTATTTCTTTATTACTCCTTTGTCTCACACCTCTGCTCACTGTTTCTATTATGCTTTTCTTGTACTTTCTTCTCTTGCTTCGCGTGCTACACGGAATGTGGCGACTTGAACTTCCGCACATTTGTGCAAAGTTCTATGTCGAAAACAGACAGACAGACAGTTTCTTTGAAGGTCAGATCATATATCTGCTAGTCGTATCCGCCCACGCAAAGTCTGCTGTGATTGGTTGTTGAGTTAGTCTTTGTTCTTGTTTTGTTTTACTCATGATCACGATTTGGGGCGTAAACATTGACGTCAATTGTTATCTACAATTTTGTCTAGCAGACAGCTATCATCACGCTGCTATTTAGTTTTTACCACGTCATATTTGGATCCGATACAGAAGTGAACTATATTTACTATCGTTTTATAGTTATGGTAGAGATTCTTTGTACATTGAAGAGTTTCTAATACTTTCGTGATATCTTTGATTGTTACCGAGTGTTTTTATTCCTGTATGAAATATTAAACATTGTTACGAAAATAACTAATTACTGACAGTATATTCAGCATTGTTTTGGAATGTTACTTTTCCCATACATACTGTTCACATATTGCTTTGAAATGAGCAGCATATCGTTGGTGGTGGGGGTGAGGTAGGGATTTTTTCACCTATTATGCATTTTTTTTTTTATTACAGCTTGATTCCACAACGTATTTTTGGCACAAGTATGGAGTTTTCAGCATGTGATATGGTTAGCTGAAATTTAGCAGGCCGACCATAGATATCAGACGTGGGTCGGCCTATGGGATCGAACCTTGGACCATGTGCATGGTCGGCGAGAGCCCTAACCACTGTGCCACCGACCCATAAATCAAATAAAAAGAATGAAACGTTAACATACCTTTTCTTTTAGCAGTTGAACTTCCTTCTCCATTGTCTTTAGGCAGTCGGAGTGGTAAAGAACTAGCGCGAGTACATTTAGAAGAAAAAGAAAAAAAACATTATATATTGTTATAGGTAGAAAAAAGAGAAGTTAGAATAGGAAACTAACTTGTAGAGATAATTTTTATAGAAAAGATCCTAGAAAATTTGTTTTTCAGGTCTATGTGGGAAAAATCCTGTTCATAATTTTCTACATCTAATTATGAGAGAAAATATTCACCCAAACAATAGTTACACCAAGACACTTGAGTGTGTTAGTGGCAAAGTGGTAGCATGCTTACCAAACACGCATGCGGTTCGGGGTTCGATCCCCAGCCGACGTACTCCTTTAACTCGCTAAGCCAGTAATAAGGCTGGTGAAGAGGGAAGGTTGGGCATGAGATTAGCAACCTGTTATGTACTGCTGATGAGTGGTTCATCGTAGTTTTCCCCGTCGCCAATTATATTATATACTCGTCGAGTAGTTAATAGTCCTTACGCGGAAAGAGGGAAATCAGAAGACCACTAGGTTTACGATGATACTTGTATTTTCCAGACAAGGAAAATAAATGCCATACTAGTGTGTGAGTGAATTGGTACAAGTGTACGAAAAAGTGTGTGAACACGAATGATGTACAAGTGTCTAATACAAAAGTATATGTGAAAATGGCTAATATACATGAACCAATAAGATAACGTCTTAGCCTGATTGGTTGTAATGTCATGTGATAACAAGGTCATACATGTCTATCTAGTTAATGGACAGACAAAAGCATATTGTCAGTTATAATGAAATATCGATCCATAGACACATAGCAAAATATAACACTGTCCAAAACAAACACACACACACATCATGTGGCTACATATCACAACCCCATCCCGTAAAAATAAACACCACTGCTACCGAAACTTCAAGACTCTAGGTTGAAACCCTATGTTCCAATGGGAACGTAAAAGAATAAAAAGAAGACATTTTGCCTATGAATAGCTTGAAATTTCTATAATGATTAAAGCCTAGTATAGTAAATGGTTTCTAACCTCTCATTTCAGTTAATAAACACTTTTATTAGAGTAATCCAACTATAAGTTTTGAAGTGTTAATAGTTTACAAGAAGTCATATTTTGCAAGTTGTCGGTGAAAACAGTCATAAAGAGGGAAGATAACTAGTCCGTGTTTAGTTTATTTCATAATTTGATTTATTTTGATAGGCTACCATTGCTACTAATTGTTAGCTTGCAGGAAATTCATTGGTTACAAGAATGATCATGAGTTGACAATGGAAAACCAGCTAGGAATACTGGACAGCTGTTTCATTTTAGTTTGCGGCTCTTCATCAGTACGCACCCTTTGCCAGGGTTTGAATCCAGGACCTTCCGGTTACAAGGAAAGCTCGTGTACTATTCAGCTACTGGGACCCGATACAATGGCCAGCACATGAACTTCTGTGAATTCGTGATTCAGCTGGACCACTAACCAATGTCATCGGCGGGAAATTCATCCTCACTCTCGACTGGATGGACCTCAATGGTGACAACTTCTCACTAGAACTCCAGGAAACTTCGTCCTGTAGCAAATCACTAGCGATCATCAGATTAATTTTCAAGAGTTGATTTCTAAGGATTAGATTTGTTTATCGATCTTGCCCACGCATCAGTATCAGTTAGAGAGCCCGTGAAAAGCAGGGAGTACTAGACAGCTGCTTCATCTTAGTTTGGGAATCATCGGCAGTACGCACCCACTGGGACTCGACCTTCTGATTACAAGGAGAGTCGGCAGATCATTCAGCTGTCCACTTCTTCCCGCTTTTCAATGGTTCTCTAATTGATATCAATCCGTGATCAAACTTGAAAAACAGATCAGATCCCTACAAATCAACTCTTGAAAATAAATCTGAATTATGCTAGTAACTAGTTACAGGACTGAGTTTCCTGTAGTTCTATTGAAAAGTTGTCACCAATGTAGTGTACGCGGTCGGTAGTGAAGGCAAATATTCGTCTTTGACACTGGATGGTGCTAGTCACGCTAAAATCACGAATTGGTAGAAGTTAGAATTCATGGGCCAATGAGTTGGGTTCCAGTGGCTGAGTGGTATACAAGCTCGCCTTGTAACAGGAACGTCCTGTATTGGAAACCCCGGTGGGCACGTACTGATGATGACTCCCAAAGTAGAACGAAATAGCTGTCCAGTACTCCCTGCTAGTTTTCCAATGTTCCTCCAACTAATATCAACTTGTGACAAAACTATCACTGGTATCATCACACACATTGTTTACTAAAGTTGAAATAAATTTCTGCAATAATAAAGAGTGCTATTCATTCAAGTATCTATAATTTAATCATACTGTATTGATTCATTTCACAAATATTTCTGAGTTTTCCAATGATCTAATAAGAAGGTTGAAAAATATTACTATAACACAACTATTTGGATAAAGGAATCCACATTTTGAAGGTAATATGCACAGACATTATAGCAGATATCATTGGAATAATATAGAAACAGAGGAGAATTCTTTTTTAAAAATGTTGCTAGTTTAATACCAAACATACAGAATCGATAAAATAAAACGGTTAATATTTTTCCATGTTTTTTGGCACACACACACACACTATATGACAAATTAATCCTAAAGCAAAAGTGGCTATTGATGAAAATTTCTCATTTATCAGTTTGACCATTTTGTCAGTCTTTAAAGTGCAATAGCTAACATCTCGAAAAATAAGTGAAAACGTTAATAGTTAAAATCACGGGACACTACAAAAGGTTTAGAAAAGTCTATAATGATATTAAAAACCAATTTTTTCCTTCGATCGCTTAGCCATCACATGAATGAATGATGAGTCTTTCTACATCAGCTAGAATCATTGCGAGTTAAAATTGAGGAGCATGTGACCAACTGTTTTGAGTTATATATAATCCAAATCTTATTTTGTGAGTTGATTTGTGGCAGAAAACTGCTAGCTGGAATCATTATCTACTACATAAATATTAGTGTGTCAAACGAAGGTTATGGCATACAGTCTCAAATGATCATATTCTCTTTATCTCCAGTTCAGTAAGCTTAGAACTGAGCAGCTACATCCCATTTATTTACAGCATAGCTCAGCACAACCGTAGCTGACTGAAGTCAGATTATTTATTTGTTTGGTTAGAGGATTTCATCATGAGCTGACATTGGTTAGAGAACCATTGGAAAACCCGCCAGGATTGGACAGCTGTTTCGTGTTAGTTTGGGACTCTTCAGCAGTACACACTCATCGCCAGCGTTCAAACCCAGGACCTTCTGGTTACAAGGCGAGCTTGTTGACCACTAAGCCACTGGGATCCGATTAAATACTTGAAAACCTATGAGATGCTCACTGGCGACTGGCCCTATTTAGGTAGGCAGTTACTTGGGGTTCTAGTGGGAAGTCATGACCAGTAGGCTGTAGCAGGTCTAGTGTGAGGACAAATACTCGCCGAAGACATTGGCTAGCGGTTGTGCTATATCGTGAATTGGCAGAAGTTAGAATTCAAGAACCATTGGATCGGGTCCCAGTAGTTGGCCTAACTGTCTACGAGCTCGCTAGCCTTGTAACCAGGAGGTCCTGGGTTCGAACGCTGGCGGTGGGTGCGTACTGCTGAAGAGTCCTAAACTAGGACGAAACAGCTGTCCAGTATTCCCTGCAGGTTTTCCAGTGGTCCTCTAACTAATGCCAGCTCATGATGAAATCCTGTAACCAATCAACCAAATCCCTAAAAACCAATACTTGAATATTTATTTATTTATTTTATTATAGCTTGATTTCACACAATATTTTGGTACAGGTATGAAATTTTTGGTATGTGATATCGGTAACCCCGGAACCATTTGCATGACCGGCGAGCCTAATCGATGTGCCACCGACATGTTTAGGAGTTAAGTCGTATAACTCAACTGAAACCCAATGTACGTTACTATGCGTCGGGTGGCACAGCGGTTAGGACGCTTGCCAAACATGTACATGGTTCGGGGTTCGATCCCCGGCCGAAGCACATTTGATATCGATGGTTGGCTTGCTAAATTTCGGCTACCGATATCACATGCTGAAAATTCCATACCTGTACCAAAATACTGTGTGTAGTCAAGCTATAATAAAATATTTTGAAAAATATTTAAAAAAAACAGAAGGTAGTTCATGACAAACATATTTAATTTCTGATCGTGTTCCAATGACTAATTCCCCTTCCGTTTAGGAGGAAAGATTCAACGCAAGAATTATCTCCAGGTTAACAATAAGAATTTCAATAAGAAAAGACACTAGTTCTGATCAATTTATGCCATCAACAGTATCATGCGTAAGCGCTTGTAAACGAAATTAACATTCATTGGGTATAATATACTATCTTTTAAATTGGTTACAGGACTTCATTATGAGCTGACAACGGTTAGGGAACCATTGAAAAACTATCTGGTAGTACAGGACACCCACCAGGGTTCGAACCCAGGACTTTCTGGTTACAAGGTGAGCTCGTAGACCATTAAGCCAATGGGAACCGATCCAATGGTCAGTCCATGAATGTTATTTTCAGCCAATTCATGACAGCGCGACCACTAGTCAATCTCTTCGGCGAGTATTTGTACTCACACCCGAACTGGTGTGGGTGCGTACTGTGAAGAGTCCCAAACTAGGGCGAAACAGCTATCCAGTGCTCCCAGATTTTCGAATGGTTGTCTAACCCATGTCAGCTAATGATGAGACCCTGCAACCAATCGACCGAATTCCTACATACCAATACTTGAGTATCTTTTAAATGCTTTTCTGAGTAAAATAATTCGTAGACTTGATTTTGTGATTGCTATGCTAAACATTGTCAAGCATAATCCGTTAGCCATTTGTCTTCATTTGCCATTATCTGGCATAGTTGGAAGAGTAGGTAAAAATATGATTGTAAACTTTTTGTTAGTTGTAGAAATTAGAGACATTGTACAAGATTTTTGTTTAAAACGATTCTTGTTAAAATATACTTAACTTCCGTGTACCATTGAAAATACACTTTACTGTTGGGAACTTCGCCTTCTCTCTGGCCGCTACTGCTTACTAGCTTCACTCACACCGTGTTGTATCCTTTGGATTTATTGTAGGAGTCTACTATCCTTCTCCGAAGGCATTTCTACAACCGGCACACAGCATCTACAGCAGACGCAATTCCAACAGTGAATACTCCCGTGGATTATATAAATAACTTGTAGCAGAGAACTTAAACTTTATATCCAAGTAACCCTTTTTATTACTATAACTCGTTACTGCATTTTTTGGTAATATTTTGTTACTCAACGTCTCACTGACTAGGATTATTGTTCTCATATTTGTAATGTTAATGAGCTATCATAACATTCCCGTACAAATGTAACAACAGGAAGGTTACAACAAAATCTGATGACAAGTTACGACAAAAATTATCATATGGAGGATTTCACCATGAGCTAAAATCAGTCAGAGAACCACTGGAAAACAGGTGGGAGTACTGGACAGCTATTTCCCCTGAACTAGTTTGGGACTCTTCACAGTACGCACCCACCGGGGTTCGACCCAAGACCTTCTGGTTACGAGGCCAGCGAGCTCATAGACCGTTGAGCCACTGGGACCCGATCCAATGGTCCTTGAATTCTAACTTCTGCCAATTCACAACATAGCGTGACCATTTTGCAATGTCTTCTTCGATGAGTTACTGCCCCATCATCGACCTGCTGTAGCCTACTGGTCACGGCTTCCCACTAGAACCCCAGGTTAACCGCCCGAATAGGGCCAGTCGCTAGTGAGCTAGTGATTATTTTGAATTATGAAACACAAAATAATTGAACAATGAACATTTTTTTCGTTATTTCCTCTTTTGGCGCTACAACTGATGTCAGCTTATGATGAAATCCTCCATGCAATCAAACAAAATCCCTACAAAACCAATATTTGAAAACTATATATATGTTTATATACATAGAATATTCTAGAATAGTAGTCAATAACAACATTAGTGTTTTTTAAATAATATAGATTCGTTAAAAAAGATTAATGGAATTACAGTTCATTAAAGGTGCTTAAATAATAATAATAATAATAATAATAATAATAATAATAAAGATATAATAGCAAGTAGAATATCAACTAGAATAAACGAAATTTCTACAACAACAAATTAAGGATCGTTCGAACCTAGATGGCCAAGGTAACGACAATGTCTGAACCGACCAGCTTCTTTTGGACATCTAAATTAAGCTTCTTAATGTGGATCTCAACAGCCTCAGCAATATTTAGTAGTCGAACTCTTAAGGCGAAATTGAGATTTGCTAGTATGCGGTAAATGACTCTGAAAGCCTGATTATCATCAATCTTGTGTTATGTATCCACAAGATGAGATCGAATAGAGCTACGAATAGATTTTGCTTGTCCTTTACTTAACCACACAAGGTGATGTTCGGAAATTCGACGAGAAACCAGCTTAATTGTACGACCTATGTAACTGGCCCACTCCACAGGAACAGTTTAGTTGGTAGATACACATGGAAGAGGCAGTTTTTCTTTTCTCTTGAACGCAAAACAGGAGTGGTTTCGAAGACACAGAGTAATTCAGAAGCAGGGAATGCTCATTTTATCACATTTCTAAGCCGTTGTGTTAGTATCTCGCTGGTGTTATCCTCGAGGAAGTGAATTTGTAAAAGTAAGGCCTTTTTAGGAACTGTCGGTATCTTAGGCTGCTTTGATTTTAGATTCATATTCTTATCAATAAACTTTTCTGGATAACATTTTTCCCCCAGCAACCGTTTGATATTATTAAGTTCCTCATCAAAACATTCATCTGAGCAGATTGCTCTTGCTCTATGAACCAAGCACTTTATTAGATGGCATTTGTATTTTAAGGGCACGAAACTGAAAAAAATGAGTATACTGACCTATTAATGTAGGCTTTCTTTATACACTTCTTCTTATTGTGCCATCCTCTTTTCTGGTCGTTATATATTATCAATTACTTAACAGTTAGTTTTGACTATCGCAAAAAGTTATCTTTTTTTATTTTTTTATTTTTGGTAACAGCTCATTTGGTAACGCCCATTATTTCTGATTGATTTATGACAATGAAACAGCATTACAACTGTGCTGATGTTAAATTATCCTTATTCCTCTATGATTCTTACTATTCAATCAAAACAGCTAGGAATTATTCAATAACTACAAGACAGACAATTGAATTACACTAATTGGATTTAATACTGAACAATAAACAATCGATTTTTCTCTGTTCAGCATGGCATTGAGTAATATGAGATTGACAGGATTATTATTATAGGATTTCATCATGAGCTGACAGCGGTTAGAGAACGATTGGAAAACCAGAATGGAGTACTGGTTTAAGACTCTTCATAAGTACGCACTCACCAGGTTGTTGAGGCTGAAATATTTATTAGGGATTACATGCAGCCTAGTGCATAAGAAAGTCAACTAAACAATTAATTTGACGCCTAGCAATTATTATTTTTTTCCCTTGGGTTCCTAGTGGAACATAGGGCTTCAACTGCACGTCTCCACTTGCCTCTGTCTTCTGCTCTTCTTTTCAACTCCATCCATGTTAGTCCATACTGTTTCAACTCCTCTTCACACGATCTCCTCCATGTCACCCTTGCACCGACGACCCACCCGCCGCTTCCCTTTCAGGTTCCACTCAAACAATGGCCTGACGCGTGCGCGATGTCACCCAGTGGCCTCCTCAGCGAGTGTCCAATCCATCTCCACTTTCTCCTGCATATATGTTGGGCGATTAGTTCTTCTTTTATTTCTTCCCACAGTTTCTTGTTGGTGATTCTTTCCGGCGAAGACAGTTGTTGGTTGTTGAAGGTCTGCAAAAGGCTGTTGGAAATATTCTTTTTGATCCACCCGCCAAGTTTCTGATCCGTATAGAAGAACTGACCGACTTGACGTTTGTATTGAAAATCCAACCGAATTTTGTTGTTGATGCTGGCTGAGTGACGAAGATTTCCAGATTGGTTTCAGGTTGGCGGTGAATATGTTTCTCGCCTTCCCGATTCTCGCTCGATTTGACATCCTCGTCCGCTCCGACTGCCTGTAGTTGAGATAGTGCTCCCTAGATAAGTCAATGAAGTAACCTCTTTCAAATCCCTCCCGGTGATGGTGATTGGCGCTGGATGTTGCTGCTGTTGTTGGTTGGTTGGTTATTTTCATCGCCTCCGTCTTGTCTATGTTCACCTGGAGTCCTGTCTTCGCCGGCTGCTTCTTTGACCAGTTTGTCGATTTTCGCTTGTAAGTCTTCTATTTTGTGTGACATCAAACATAAATCATCCACGCGCGAAATCCAGGTCTTCTAGGTCGGTCTTCACGTCGGTCCAGGATATTCCTGTCTTCTCGTTCCCCACTCACTGTCTGCCGCATAATCCAGTTAGCCCACCACAATTGGGAATATCATCGTTGGTGATAATAAGCACCCTTGTCTGACTCCTGTGTTTACTCCAAACGCCTTGCTGAGTTTTCCGTTGTGGATGACTTGACATGTGCCGTTGTCGTACAGCTGTTGAATAAGGTTGATGAATATTTGGGGTACGCCATAGTACTCGCTGTCGAAGGCCTTCTCAAAGTCTATAAAGTTGAGGTAGAGGTTTGATCGCCATTCCATGCTTTGTTCTGTGATGATGATGCGTAGAGTTGCAATTTGGTCAGAACATGATTTGCTTTTCCTGGGTCCAGCTTACTCTGGTCGGAGTTCTGTCTGCAGTGCGTCCTTTATTCTCTCCAGGATGATGCGACTCAGGATTTTACTTGGCGTCGACAGGAGCATAATTCTTCGCCAGTTCTTGCAGAGTGAGGCTTAAGTCGCCCTTATTTGGTAGTTTCACGAGGTAACCTTTCCTCCAGTCAGCAGGCATCTTTCCCTCCTTCCAGACCTTTCGCAATTATGGAGACGCCTAGTAATAATACTAGGTTATTCAAACTTCGGTAGCTAGGAAATTGTCCAATGTACCTACCTATAAGCTGAATAGAATTAAAGCATACAAATCAATCAATCAATCAATCAAAGATGCATCTAATTTTAAATTTGCCTATTGAGTATAATGGGATGAAAATTATTACAAAAGTATGTTTTATGGAGAAAAAAAGTGTAGGGTAAAAATCATATTAAAATGTCAGTCACAGTAATATCGGGAGCGGGATAAAATATAAATGGGCGAAATCCTATGAAATTTCAATGAATACCTGTCAATTTATATTGAATTTTATGCATGATTCAAATTTGAAACAAAAGAGATGTTCATTGTACTCACCCTTTTCTTGATGCTGCCAAAAAAAAGAAACAGAATAGACAAGAAAACAGCTTAATTTACATTGATAAAAAGAAAATTCGGACAGATTTTCACAACAACAAAAAAGATGTCGGTTACAATATTTTTGTTATCATTCACACTGTAAGTAGGTAGTTTGTAAGAAGCACTGGCCTAACCAGCACCGTAAACTGTATAGAATGCAACAAAATAGTAGCCGATATAGCATACTTTGTAATACTGATAAGGATTTTGTGGATAACATTTCGCGAATTAATTATTGCTCATAATCATCTCAAATTAATCACACGGTTTCGCAATTTATCTTATGTATATTTTTACGAGTTGATCACGAATATCAGTTAGAGAATCATTGAAAACCAGCACTGGAGTACTGGACAGCTGTTTCATCCTAGTTTGGGTATCGTCGGCAGTACGCACCCATATATATATATATATATATATATTCACTCGTCCTCTGTCACCGATTTCTCCATTTTGTTCGCTGCCACTTTCCATACCTCAGGTATAGGTGTTGCGTCGTTTCTGACTGCATGTGTGAGGTATTGAATAGATAAACAAAGCTTCAGTGATTAACCTCTCCCTCTGTCTCTTTCCACCCAACTATATGACTTTTTAATGCTCTCACTCTGTCCCACTCATTTTTTTTTGTGATTACATGCAAGTGAATGCAATGCAATTTCTGAGGTTTTTTTCTCTAGGTTATTTAACTTGACACGATCAATTATTCTACGTCTAGCTAAATTTTTATGTTCCAATAATTTGGTTGACCCCAATCTACTGATTTGACCTATGTAATTCACCTCACTGACAGTCATTACATGGTATTCCGTAAATTATATTATTTTTCTTAATTGCATCTATTGGGTCCTTCAGCGGATAAAGTATATCTCTAAGAGAGTTGGTTGGTTGGTATAAATGACATTCTAATTCCAGCCTCGCTCAGAATCCTACGTAAAGCCTTTAACATTCCTGCTTTACATGGCAGTACTAAAGAGGCTCTGAGAATTCTATATTATTTTCGTTATTTTTATTTCTAATCTTATTTTTTTCTATGGTTCTTCATACATTTCTGAATAAATTCTGGTGGGTAGTTATTCACTACTAGTATTTCCTCTATTTGTTTGATTTCGTCATCTAAATATCCTGGTCTGCTAGTTAGGCTCCTGGACCAATTATACAGACATTTAACTAAACCTATTATTACTGATTCTGGATGGGATGAATTAAGGTCTAAGTATTAATTACAGTGTATCGGTTGCCTGTAAATGCTATTATCTAACCTACCATCTTATTTTCGATTTATTCTGCAGTCTAGCATGGCCAATTTACCCTGTTCCTCTTGCTAACTCTGAAGTGAATTGGATTCCATCTACCATTGAGATGGAAAAGATGCACATGAGACAAATTGTGAAGTTGTGTGACTAAAATTAATATGATTATGAGTGGCAATGATTTATGCTCGAAACCTTGTCATCCAGTTGTTAATACTGCGCCATCACTGTGTGATATTTAAAATAAACTTATCTAATGTGGAATTCCATTCTACCACAGTGCTCAAGTTCTACATTTACATTAAAGATTAACTGTAGGTCAGACAAGTGTGAAATATAATTTCAGGTGGTAAGTGTTCCAGTCATGGTATGTGGTTTCATTCATCTTCCTGAATAAATACAATAATGGTATGGTAATCAAGATCTGCTTAGAAATAAACTATAGATTTAACTGAATTTTAGATTTTCCCGTCGATTGATTGGACAGAAGTGCTCGGTCTCAGGTTGACATGTCGGCTTCTTGTGCAGATGCTTCGACTATGTCTGGGCATTTAATTGGTATTTAATTGGTGGATGGTGACTAGCAGTGGAATCCAGGATGCGCAGTTCGTCCTATTTGGAAATCGACTGGATTCCACTGCTAGTCACTATCCACCAATTTAATATAAACCATAGATTATTGTATAACAAAGATCATCTACAAGGTGAGGAGGCCAAATGGTACAAAAAGCGTCAGGTTTCGGCTTTTGCGTATGGCGAAGGCGCTGGCAATTCATCAATACAACCCCAAACTCTGTATACAGAAAACTTTTGTCCAGTCTTTTATTCTACCATGGTCTTAACCTCTTCACAAGTCTTTCCCTGTAAAACAAATTTTGATTTTTTCTATTCTATTTTTCATTTTTCATTCTATTTTTATTTTGTTTTTCCTTTAATAATCAATTCACTATTATCACTCTCATATGCTCCTTTTGTACATTTTCACACCCTCTTCACACTTGTTAAGTGGACACTCAACTACCTTTATTCTCACTCAATGGTACCTTTAACCTTATCAAATTTTTACCTTTAGGCCGTTGAGTACCTCGTAATTTACAACTTTTAATTTTTACTTCTAAAGCCACTTCCGAGTAATTATATCGATTGTTGTATAGCCTTTTATGGACATCTCTCACGGCATTTATATATAGACATCATTGTTTCCTTTTGTAAACCTGCTGTTACTTTGCATTTCACGTTGTCGTGTGTTGTTCTCGCTTAGGTAGAGCAGGCTGGGAGAAGCAGGTAGCCTAGTGACTGCATGATCCCACTGAGTCTATGCCCAGCTCGGTATCCCTATTCAACTAGATGTATTGCAGGTTTATAAAGCGATTTCTAGGAATTCACAGAGTTATCTTGTTATGCGAAGCTTTGTAGTGTTTTTCAGTGGAAATTAAATTTTTCACACAACAAAGCAGGTAATTCATTCAGTTGAAAATTTGGCTAATCGACATCGTTGAAAATGAGAGTACATGATAAAATTTTCAAAGGACAGTTATATGAAAATCAGTACTGCACTTAAACCTTGCTTTAAAAATAAATCAATTTTCAATTAAACACATTAAATGCTACAGAAAAGAAACCTGTTTAAGTGGTCAAACTGTTTACAATGCAATGGTAACAAACCCTCACCTGGTAGACCTCTTTTGAAAGATCTAAAAATGAAGAAGAAAATCAATAATGATAATTATATACAAGCAAATACTCAGATATATGCTGTTTTATGTAACCAGTACCTTCAGTAATTATTGAATTCAATTTAAACTTTCCCGTTGATTGATTGGACCGAAGTGCTCAGCCTCAGGTTGACCTGTCGGCTCCTTCTGCAAATGCTACGACGATGTCTGGTCATGTAACTCCTCGTAGCCCAAGTGGTCTAGTGGATAAAACTTTTGCGTTTGAAACTATGGGCACTGGGTTCGAGCCTAAGTGGGAACGCCACCACTCACTGGGGAGGGTACAGGTACATCCAGATGACAAGTCTTAAACAGGATAAAATGCGCATTGTGGATTCAACTGCTGGTCAGAACTGATATCAGATAGTCAAAATATCTGGCTGTCTGGAATCTGGCCATATTCAGGTAGGTAGTTACCTGGGGTTCTAGTGGGAAGTCGCCATCAGTAGGGTGCAGCAAGTTGGGTGTGAAGACAAATACTCGGCGAAGATATTGGCTAGCGGTTGCGCTATATTTCGAATTGGCAGAAGTTAGAATTCATGGAGTGGTCACTGGATCTGGCAGGTCCCAGTGGCTTAATGCTGTACGAGTTGGCCTTGTAAGCAGAAGGTCCTGGGTTCGACCCCTCGCGGCGAATGCATACTGCTGAAGAGTCCCACAGTAGGACGAAACAGCTGTCTAGTACTCTCATCTGGTTTTCCGATTGTTCTCTGTCCGATGTCAGCCCATATTGAAGTTATGTAACCAACGAAATCTGGTATGCTGAACAAGTCCTATCACAATAGATGCCTTTATTTTATCATAAAAGTCTTTTAAAGTATATGTTGGTAACAATAATTTTAGATGTGCACTTGAAATAACCAAGTGTTGTAGCCACTTGAAAATCGAATGGGAACTAAACAGCTAGTTAAACAATGGATCCTTATCAAATTAATACTTACAGAAACATAAAATATACTTTTAATATTTATAGCCTGTCAATTTCAATTCATACTTATCTCTCTGTGGTAATGACTAAATAATACACAATCTAGTCAACTAGTCTCATGGAATAGTATTACCAAATATAAATAGAGTCTCATGTAATAACATTAACAATAATAAAATATGAAAATTTAGTGCAGATAATCAATTTAGCAGCGTGCCCCATTTAAAGAATCCAATTTGATTATATAATAATTAGAATCTCAATCTAAGAGCACACCTGAAAAAAAGCTTCATCAACGATGAACATTTGAAATTTTAAAGTATCTAATAAATTCTTTGTAGCTGTCCGAATAATATTGCTTAAGAAAATTCCATTGGATTTCATTTTAGTCTCACAAGATAATAAAGAAACATACGCGCACAGACCACTTGGAACCTTTTGCACAGTGCAGAAGATAACACAAAAGACCAAAGTATGAAAATTGAGAGGCATCAAGATTCATAAAAGACACAGAAAAGAGCAAGGTTCAACAGAGAGACAGAGAAAAAACTGATCGTAGCGTTAGTATGTAAAAATAAACTATGAGTAGATCTGAGCTAATGAGATCGATTTGGAGCTACGTAACCTTTAGTCATGAAGCAAATATTTCCGTGATTACGTGGAGCTTAATCAGTCATTCTACATCTCTACACAAGATTCGGACTACGAGTCGACGACTTAATGGATCGGTCTAGCCACTCTTTACCTTCCTACAAAGTACTTCATAAGGAACTTAAACAGAGTATTATTATTGTTTTCTTTAATTCCTAGAGGAACATAGGACTTCAGCCGCACGTTCGGTTATCTGCTAGAGTTTTCACCTGGCTCCAAGTCTGCCCACTTGTTTTCATCTCCTCTTCACATGACCTCCTCCAAGTCACCCATGCATTGACGACCAACTCTCTGCCGCTTCCCATTCGAGTTCCACTCGAGCAATGGATTGTCTAGTGATGTCACTTCATGGTTTGTTTCCTCAGAGTATGGTCAATCCATCTCCTTTTCTTCCTGCCTATTTGTTTCACAATCGGTTCCTGGTTGGTTTGCTCATTGCCAGAGATCCCTGTTGCTGATCTTTTCTGGCCATCTGATCATGAGTATTGAGCGAAGACAACTGTTAATGAAGGTCTGAAGTTTGTTTGAGATGCTCTTTACGAGGCGCCAAGTCTCTGATCCGTAAAGTAGCACTGACTTCACATTGGAGTTGAAAATCCGAATGTTATTTTTGATGCTGAGTGCTGTTGACCTACACACAGACTTAAGAGTAATGAAAGCTTGTTTTGCTTTCCCAATTCTTGCTTTGATATCCTCGTCAGTTCTGCCTGTAGTTGAGACGATGATTCCCAGGTAGGGTAGATAAGGAGGTTGTTTCTTTCAGGTTCCTCCCATTTATTCTGGCTGATTGTTGTCTGTTGCTGTTGGTGTTGGCCAGGAATCTTCATCACCACTTTTTTCTCTATGTTCACCTGAAGTCCTATCTTCTCTGGATTCTTCTTCTCTCAACATGTGGCTTTTCACTTGCATATCTTCCAGTTTGTGGGAAATCAGACATACATCATCATCGGCGAAACCCAGATCCTCCATTTTTTGTATGGGTCCATTTTATGCCTGTTTCCTCGTCGCCCGCTTTTTGTCGCAGATAGGGAATAAATATGCGTGACACATTTCCTAATCACCTCAAGTAGTCAAGATTTTGTTTTGAACGAACAACTAGTATTTACTTAACCATCTGGTTGTATATCTCAAACTCATCAGTACTGGCTTTCGGATTACTTGATACTAGAAGCATGTAATAATTAATCTTATCGATCTAGAAAAGTAAGGTCATGATAATGACTGAACTAATAATTCTAAATGAGAAACTCACAAAACACACAACAAATCTATGACAGGAGATACTAAACCATGGATAAAGCAAGAGAAACAGTTTGTTTTGCAGAATTATATGCTAGCATCAGTGCTTATTTTGTTGGCTTCTCATCAGCTGCTGCTTACAGTCTTAATAAATTATTAAGTTTATATACAGAAAAGTTTTAACATATTTGCAAATTTTACTTGATATCAGTTGACAGAAAAAGCTTAGTGAACAGTGCTCAGAAAATTACGCTCATATACTTTTTGCAGTGGGAGTTCAAATTTAGACGAAGTAAATGTATGCTTACAATGGTAAATGAGTTACGTAATAAGGACGGGAGGTGGGTAAGATAATGAGTGACTAATAAATTAAGTAACAGTGTACTGAGTTCAACTCAAATCATAAATCTTTAAATACTCCAATCATTAAAATTAGAACATGGCATAAGTGAACAATATTGTTTTCAATTAGATCTTTAGACTTTACTCTAATTTACATAGGTCTATACATAATAAATTTAAACCAGTGACGGTGATTTTGTGGATCAAATAATAATAATAATAATAATAATATGATAAATGTTTTGAACGTATTTGATAACGATGATTATAATGATAACAAAATATTGATAATAAGGTTTATGCAAGCGGCGATAGGAATAACGAAGGTAGTAATATGTGTATATGTAAACATTTCAATAAATAAATTACGTCAAATCTTAAAAGTTGCATAATACTAAAGGTAAAGTGGACAGTTAATCAGAGTTTAAATAAATATCATAAAAGTACGAAGGAAATGGAAAACAAGAAAGGGTGGGAGGGTTTTGGACAGAATTCATCTAGGCTAAGGGAGAGACAAAGGTAGAACAAACTTCTTCTGTATGCAAATACTAGGATTGTTCTATCAAATTAATTCCCATAGCTTCGGATATGTGTAAAAGACTGATTCGAATTCCATTCGAAAGGCTCCATGGTATGTGATAGACAACTTTGAAGGCACTATTTTTTCCATTTGGTGACCACTATCAATCAAATGAGCCAAAATAGAACTTCTTATAGATTTTATTTGGCCTTTTCCGAACCATGAAGGGAGGTGCTCATTAATGCGTTTGTTAAGCTGTCCAGCTGTTCGCCGTATATAGCTCTCTCCACAGGAGCAACGAAATTTGTAGATACACATAGAAGTGACATAGCTAGGTAGCTTGTCTTTCTTCTGAGCAATCATAATTGGTCGTCTGGAAAATGACAAACAAATAGTGGTGGCAGTATAAGTCCGTTTTATTGCTCTCGATAATCTCAGATGTAAGACTTCACTAGCCACGTCCCCATTAAATTGCAATTTCATGAACAGTTGTTTCTCTTTAAATGCTGTCAGTTTCTCTTTCTTATACCTAGTGTTATTGTGTCTCCTCTCAAATCTATTAGGATAAGCCACTTGAACCGGCATATTTTAGATGTATCCTAATTCATTTTCTAGGAAGTCATCTGTACAGATCCTGCAAAAGATTTAACACCCAGCATTTATCGTTTCAGACAACAAAGTATTATGCACTAGGTCACGACAGTCACTTCCATTCGTTCCCCGATGCGTAAGTTTTTCACCAGATGTTCAGAAAATCGGAATTGTACCCTTCTTTCTCTTCTCTCAATGTAAATGCTTCCGCAGAAACACGTAAATTTGTATACACATCTCTAGAGTTAGCATAAGAAGAGTATCTGTTGACTTTTGCCTGCACCAAAGAGCATGTTGTCCGACAGACGGGAACCAACCTCCTGTCAACTGACATCACGTAAAATTTTCAAGTATGTTAAAACTGTATATAAACTTAATAATAATTTATTAAGGCTGTAAGCAGCAGCTGTTGAGAAGCCAACGATATAAACAATGACGATACCATATTATTCTGCAAAACCCGTTGTTCTTGCTCTATTCGAATTCACAAAGGGGAATAAATGCATGAAGATACTAGACTATTGCATGTTGAAGGATGCTGGTTGATTTAAACATTCGAAACACGCACATACTTCAATTTGAAGTAAGCTTTTAGATTTCTTCACGAGTTTATTGATCATATCTCCTGATGACCCTGGGCATGATTGGTTGTTTCCGTGTGTTTTCAAACCCCTAGCCTGATACTTATATTGGAACTGATTGTTTCTTTGACTTGAACTTTGACCCTTTGTATCTGAGGTTTCTTTCTTTTATCAGCTGGTAAATTTTGTCTATCCCGATGTGTCTATTGATTGACTATTCACTGGAATAGAAGGCTTCTAAAAATTCTCTAGTATTCTTGTAGTTTCCTCTGTCTAATATCTGAACGTTGTCCTAATCGAATTGATGTCTGTGGTTGTCTGTATGTAGTGATATCGTGTGGGAGTGGATATCGTGTCTTTTGACGGCTAGCTTATGATTATGAATACAAAGACGAGGGGGACGTCCACTTTGGCCAATGTAATGTTTTTCGGAGTTGTTTCAATTTATCTTGTCTATGATGTTGGTTTTATCTTCTCTCGCTGTTGAGTCTTTTGGTTGACACAAGGCTGAGTTAAGTGATTTTGTTGGTTTGTGTGCGACATCAGTTCCCAAAGGTTTGAAGAGTCTTGCAGTGATTTCTGAGATGTCCTTTATATATAGTAAAGCGATTTTCTTTGTACTTCCCTTGGGGGCCTTTGGTTTGATAGGTTGGCTTGGGGATATATGTCTTTTGATGAAATTCCGTGGATACTCATTCTTTTGAAAGACATCCATGAAATATCTCTCTTCAATTTTTCTTAAGGTGAGAGCGCTGCAATGATTTCTGGCCCTCTTGAATAGTGTTTGTATACAATTCCTTTTGTGTGTTATTGGATTGTTGCTGTTGTAATTCAGTATTTGGTCTGTGTGAGTTGATTTTCCATAAACTTGAGTTTCTAATTCCCCTTTGGTTGTTCGCTTGACTAAGACAACAAAAAAATGGGATTTTGTTCTCGGATTCCTCTTCTCTTGTGAATTTCATGTCATTGATGACGTTGTTTATTAAGTTGTGAGTTTTATCTAACTCGTTTCCCGGGAATCACCAGTCAATAGACACATCGGGATAGACAAAATTTACCAGCTGATAAAAGAAAGAAACCTCAGATACAAAGGGTCAAAGTTCAAGTCAAAGAAACAATCAGTTCCAATATAAGTATCAGGCTAGGGGTGTGAAAACACACGGAAACAACCAATCATGCCCAGGGTCATCAGGAGATATGATCAATAAACTCGTGAAGAAATCTAAAAGCTTACTTCAAATTGAAGTATGTGCTGAAGATGTTGCCTAGTAGGGCGATGAAAGCTTCGCAAATCAACTATCCAGCTTAGAGAACACAACCACATCAAAATCATTATTCTTGTGCCATAGAAATTCCTCTGAGGATTCTTCAAAATTATACAAGAGAATCATATTCAGCTTTGGGTAAAATTATTGAAGAAGAAATCAGATTAATTGCTGTCTTTTGATTATCAACATGACTGATTGAAATATGCATGTATACATCAATTGAATACTCCTCCCGTCAATGAGTTATCCATAAAACACCCATTAATATTAATTGGTGAAATCAATAATGACAGGGAGGGCAAAACAAGAGTGACATGCTAATCACCATAGAGATAAGGAAGCTGTTCTGTGTATCACAAACAAATGCGTGCATCGTTAACTTACAAACCAGAAATGATAAACTATAAATTATGAGGGATGAAGAGTGAAAAGTAAGCTGACTGATTCAATCATCTTACGGATAAAATAAGGTTAGAGGCAAAATAGTATTGAAAATTTTTTATCATATATTTATTTATCGTTCTTACACAAAATTAATACGAATATTTGAACTTACATCATTGGGTGAAGAATCTGTGTAATGTATATGCAAAAAAAGAACCCAAAGGGAAGTGAAAACTGTGACGTAAAAACGGCCTTATTCTTCACTAATAAATGATGCTTACATAGTTATAATCTGATATCTGTAAAGTGTTGGTTTGCAGGGATTTGATTGGTTACAACTTTCGTCATGAGTTGATATCAGTTGAAGAACCATTGAATAACCTGGAAGGACTGGACAGCTGTTTCGTCCTAGTACGGGGCTCTTCAATGGTACACACCTACTGAGGTTCGAACCCCTGACCTTCCGGTTACAAGAGGAGCCTGAAGACTATCCAGCTACCAATACTCCCAGATTTTCCAAAGGTTCTTAAACTGATGTTAGCTCGTGATCAAACCTGTGATTAATCTGATATCATCTGCATGAGGGTCAAGCCAAAGTATGATGTGGCTTGAAAGTATTACTGAACAAAAAGAAAATCTATTGAGAATTTCGTATTACACAATTAGTAAATGGATGAGATGACTCAATAGTACTTAAACTATTCCACAGACGGGAAATAATTTGGTAAACACGTCATATGTATTTAAAAGAAGTTTGTCAGACCCATTTCTTAACCCTGGCTTCCCTTTTCAATATTTTACTCGTTAAAATCAGCATACTTCCACTTCACTCCTTCGTCGTTTTATTTAGAATTTTCTCTTTCTATATCTCGAGGTTTATATAACTCCTGTAGACATGTGAAGGTAAAACTTAGAAAAACTGATGAATTATAGATTCAAATTAGATAGGTTTGTGTCATACAGCACATAATAATAAAATATAACGAATAGGATAATGTCTTAAGCACACCTTAGTGGTCATGGCGATATAATATCACAGTGACACCAAAAGTATATCTGTCTGTCTATTTTCCACATAGAACTTTGCACTGATGTGCGGCAGTTCAAGTCGCCACACTCCATGTAGCACACAAATCAAGAGAAGAAAGTGAAAGAAGTGCATAATAGAGACAGTAAACAGAAGTGTGAGACAAAGGAACAGTGGTAACGAAGAACGATATAGTTTCATTTGAAAGTCTCAGGGAGTGGATGCATCTGCGCCAGCCATTGAGAAAGATTTTGAGCCATATCGCCAATTGTTTCCAGCCATTGGTTTTTACCGTCCCGAGGACCCCAACCAGTCAGGAATTCTACACCTTCCTACCTGGCTAGCTTAAACTAACTGTTTTGGATTTCACTGATATAAGTATGATATGATTTCATAAGTATATGTGTGCATACAACTTTTGTATTCATCAAATAACGTCTTATTCTTTCAGTTAATTAATAACTTCGTGAAAACTACCATAATACACACACCACGTCTAAACTGACACTTTTCTATTCATTCATCAGATGTCTCGTCTGCTCAAGTTCCCCATACTTCAGGATGAACCCAGTGTGATGTTTTTTCTCTCTAAGGCAATTTTCAACGAAGCCTAATTCTTCTAACTTACCCGGTAAGCGTAGCTACCTGAATAATATAGTGTTCCCATTAGTCCACGCTCATGAACAACAGAATAGAAGCTGTTGTAGAGTAGATGTTCTCCAGTCCAAGTGTTATTTCTATGGATAAACTTTTTAATCTCATATTAGAATAAACTCATTGTCGCACGAACAATCCATGTGGAATTCGCCGTTAGGTTGGATCTCGTTGAGAATGCCAAATAATTATGATACATGATTCCTGCCGATAAAAACAACAAGTTGTGATTACTGTACCTGTGATAGTAGATTGGTTCGCGAATTGCAGAACTTAGCTGTGTCTTTTCGAGATATCGGTCAGAACAGTTCCTAACCCACTAATTTGTTGGCGAGGCTGGCTATTAAATTGAAACTAGATGTCTTTTATTCAAAGGGGTTCAAAGTACCTCATTTCTATTTCAGGCAGTGGTAGCAGATTGGTCTGTTAAAAAAAGTTATGCTAATTAGTTAATCACTTCTCTACCTGTAAATAAAACGACCATATCTTCAACACCATGAGTTTATTTGATATCCTGACGATACCTAATACCTAGGGAAATTGAAAGGTAATTTATCAAACAAAATTATTCCGTGCAGCTTCCAAAAAATGGAGTGACCACTGAGGTAACTTTTGATCATTAGCATTATAAGTCTCAAAAGTACATCAAACTTATGATTTCCAAAAAAAACCACACATTTTGGGCGCATCTTATGTTACGTTATCCACAAGCTTTTTCTTGGGAAATCCTTGATACCTTCACTTAATTTTATTTTCGCATGCGATTGTCGTATTCCTTCTCACCTTTTTCCTCTGGAGTTACTTTGAATCACCAAGAAGCTTGAGCATTTTACATGACAAGGTTTTGGTGTGGTAATAATGAACAAAATCGCTCATGTACATAAGATGCTGAATTTCTTCATTCGCTTCCTATTCAATGAATATACAGTATTTAAAAGCAAAGGTTAAAGAAAAAGAGGTTGTTTTCCTGAAGCCAAACATGGATGATTACAAAGCACCAGGTGATCAATAAACTAATCCAAAATGAACAAGTATTCTGCTGATGTCACCTCCAACTTTGTTCATTAGTTTTCATGCTTTTGTGGTAGCAAGTACATTTTAAGGACTAGAAGAAAGTTTTCTATTCGGTCTTTGAGAATATTTCAAGAAATCTATGTCTAATGGGAAGCAAATATTTACGCAGTACAATGACTAGACACTCTTGGATTTGAGGTATTTAGGTGACACCTTCAAAATATTAAATGTGCAGAAGACTCTGGGTTTAATATGATTTACTGAAGCAGTTGTAATCAAACGTTTTCAGCTAAACCTACACACATACACACACAAATAAGAAGAGTGTGACTGATCCTTCGCTACCTTGGTAGCTGATTTCTGATTTTTTGGTATTTCTTTATCATAGTGAAATCTATACATTAGCTCATATTAGCCATAAATGAGACACTAATTGGAAAGGAATATATTTCTTTAGCCTATCCCTCTTCTGGAATTAGTTGTGTTCTCTGAGATCGTTGGTGAAATTGCAAAGCTTTCGTCGTCCTTCTGGACAACATCTTCAGCGCAGGTTTTAGTATAAAATGAACTGATTTAAATTCTCTATGAGTGACAGAATTGTTACTGCTGACAACCATTTTCGTGACTGATAGTCGATTTGCATCTGTATTGATCATTTTTTATTGAATTGGAGTTTGAACTTTCTTGTCGTGTGATTTACTTTTTAATAGCTTGGTAAATTTGGTCTATATTAATATGTTTGTTAATCGCCGATTTACTTGGATACCAGGCTTCTAGGAATTCTCTGGCACTTTTGGTATTTCCTCCATTTAAAATTTTCACATTGTCCCGATCAAATAGATGTTGGTAATTATCTACATTCATTGATATGAAAGATTATATATCATATCTTTTTACGGTTGATTTTTGATCCTGGATTCTGATTCGAAGTGGACGCCCACTTCGACCAATATAATGTTTATCGTAGTTCATACAATTTATTTTGTAAATGGTATTAATTTGATCTTATTTTCCTATCAGATCTTTCGGTTTGCGCAATATCGAATGATGTGATTGCGCTGGCTGGCTGGCTGGTTTGTGTGCTGTATCTATTTCAAACAGACTCACTATTCCAGCTGTTATTTCAGAGACATTTTTGATATATGCTAGAATGAATGTCCTTGTATTCTTTGATGCTGGTTTGTTGTTGGTATTGTGACTCGATTTTTCGGCTATCTCTCACAAAGTTGGCTGCGAAGAAACACAATTCTATCGTTCACAGAGAATTTAAATCAGTATATTTTATGCTAAAACTTGGACTGAAGATATTGTCCAGAAGGACGATGAAAGCTTCGCAATTAAACCAGACAGCTCAGAGAACACAACTAATTTCAAAATCATCCACTTGAGCTACAATACTCCTCTAATGATTACTTGCTTTCTATTCCAACTCTAAAGCAACACACTAATGCTGCATTTGCTTTTCTTCCTCTTTTTATCATTTCTAACAATAATTATCATTTTATTTCATATTTTTAGCTTTCAACATGACAAGACAGTTCTGATATCTATATAAGAATCATTGATACAGACATTTTTGTTGACTACGCGCTACAGACATGTCTAGGGAGTGGCAAACATGTCTGAATACATTGGATCTATCAAAAAATCAACTTATCCGGGGTTCGAAATAAATCAATCAGTCTAAATGTAGTCTGAATCGGAAGGCAGTGGAACTTAACTATCAGAGTTTAGGTTCATGACTTAAACTGTTTAGTTCTGCTCGTTCAAGCGTCAGTGACGATGAGCAATAAAATGTTTACGATAGTTATATGGTACACATCCTCAGTGTCAGGCACCAAGATAGATCTGCAACATATAAAGGGAAGACTTCATTCAGGCAGAATACTGTCATTGTAAGTATTAAGCGAAAAATTACATCTAATGCAGTGATATTTTTACTTAGAAAATTCGAATTTTCAACAGCAGTTTAAAGCCAGTTCTTCTGCACAGATCAGTAACCTGTCGCGACAGGAAAAACATTTCCAACAGACCACAGCAGACTTCTATAAACAGGTGCTTTCACTCCATAGTCAACATCAAGTAAACAGATAGAATTAGCAGCAAGAAACTCTGGGAACTAACCAAATGATAACACCTACTGCTCAGCAAATATGTAGAAGAAAGTGGAGGTGGATCAGGAATAACTTGAGGAGACCCTTGGGTGACATCTCACTCCAGGCCATAGCTCGAGCAGAAGCCGAATGGGAAAAGACGATTTGAGCGACCATGTGAACTGGAGATGAGAGAATATTGGCAGTCATGGAACCAGCTAAAGGGGACTAATGAGGAAAGGACGAAGTTGAGGTGTGCTGTTGAAGCCCTATGTTCCGCTCAGAGCTCAAAGGAATATTAATAATTTACGGATAGGATGGACATGGCCTACAATGGCCTGTATGGAATGGAAAATTCATCAACTTTCAAAGCTTCGTGCCCCTGAGAAGAAAGAGGAACCTAATATACGCTCTTTCCTCGAGGATTAGGAAGATATGCAGCGAGGAAGTGGTTGAAGAAGAACTGCGTAATCTTCGAAAAACCCTGATGGAAAACGGTTTCCCGCCAAGATTCATAGACAAGAATCTCAAATGTAAGAAGACTTCCGAACAAGTCCATTCCGTTCCAAAGAAAATACCTCTGCTTAATCTAGAATTCAAAGGTGATATTGAAGCAGAAATCCTTCGCAAACGCCTCTCCAACTCGCTAAGGAAAACATACTTCGCCGCAAGCATACGACTGACGTTTCCCTGCAAGAAATTGTTCAGCCAGAACGCGAAAGACAAGCTGTCGCATTGGGCCGCCTCAACGTGCATATACCAGTTTACTTGCTCTTGTGGAGCTGAGTACATTGGCCGTACCATGCGCCGACTTGAAAAACGCGCTCGTGAACACTACTCAGCCTGGTTAGTAAAAGGAAACCACAAGCGTGTATACAGTTCAGTGACAGAACATTTGGTTAATTCAGGACATTCAGCACCTTTCGAAAAATCCTTCAAAATAGTATACAAGATTCAATCAAACCTATCAAAGGGAGTCAAATCAAGACATCTGGGCATAGCCGAAGCGCTAGCTATACAAAAGCTGAAACCCACCCTTTGTATCCAAAAGAAATACGTCCAACCCCTGTCCCTGCCATGGCCATCATAAACAGGTAATTTTTTAGTAATGACCATCCAATCGCCTTTCTTACCTAAACTTTCTGTTTATTCTTGTTATTTTAAGTTTTTCTTAATCCCTGTTTACACTACCATATTTTCATACCCGAACTTCGTGTTTATTTTGTCATTTTACTATTTCCACACATTTAATCCCTGATTGCATAAACAATTATTCATCACATTAGTTTTTATCCAGACATCCTGTCTATTTTGTTATTTCTACATTTCTAACCCCTAATTGCACAATGTCAATCTTCTTAGCTATCATGGTGCTACTTTGTTTGTTTTATCCATCCCCCTGTTTATTATGGCATTCTAATTCCTAATTTTAATTTTTACTAATTTGACCCTTGACCGGATATTATTCTGGAACTTTCCTATCCATTTGATATAAATACACGAATGTACAGCCAAGATGATGACTTCGTCGAAAAGAAAATTTTCTTCGCTGCAATTGTCTTCTTAATTTACGGATCATCATTGAACAAAGCTTGAAATGGCAGTCACCTCTCTATCTCAACTTCATCGACTTTGAAAAGGCCTTCGACAGCATTGATCGAGAGGTCATTTGGCAACTACTTCGCTACTACGGGGTCCCATCGGCAATTATACATCTCATCCAACAGTTATACGACAATGCTGCATGCAAAGTAATCCACAACGGGAAACTTACGGAAGCCTTCGAAGTGAGGACGGGAGTGCGACAAGGCTGCTTACTATCACCAATGATCTTCCTGATTGCAGTAGATTGGATAATGCGACAGACAACGGCAACCAACGAGGAAACAGGCATAAAATGAACTCACACAAAAGACTTGGAGGATCTGGACTTCACCGATGATATATGTCTGATTTCCCACAAACTTTAAGATATGCAAGTGAAAATCAACAAGTCGGTAGAAGAAGAATCCAGAGAAGATAAGACTTCAGGTGAACATAGATAAAACATAGGTGATGAAGATTCCTAGCCAACAGCAACAACAACAACAGACAACAGTCAGCCAGAATAAATGGGAGGAACCTGAAAGAAACAGCCTCCTTTACCTACTGACCTAGGTGGAAAGCATCGTTTCAACTACAGGCAGAACTGACGAGGAAATCAAAGCAAGAATTGGGAAAGCAAAACAAGCTTTCATTACTCTTAAGTCTGTGTGTAGGTCAACAGCACTCAGCATCAAAAATAACATTCGGATTTTCAACTCCAATGTGAAGTCAGTGCTACTTTACGGATCAGAGACTTGGCCAGCGCGTCATAAAGAGCATCTCAAACAAACTACAGTCCTTCAATAAAAGTTGTCATCGCTCAATAGTGCTCAAAATCAGATGACCAGCCAGAAACGATCAGCGACAGGCATCTCTGGGAGCGAACCAACCAGGAACCGATCGTGCAACAAATAGGCATGAGGAAATGGAGATAGATTGGCCATACTCTGAGGAAACAAACCACGAAGCGACATCACTAGACAAGCCATTGCTCGAGTGGAACCCGAAAGGGAAGCCGCGAGTTCGTCATCAATGCGAGGAGGAGATGAAAGCATGTGGACAGACCTGGAGCGGGGTGAAAAAGTTGGCAGAAAACAGAAGGCAATGGAGGTGCGCAGCTGAAGTCCTATGTTCCTCTAGGAACTAAAGGATACAATAATAATAATACACATAAAAATGAATTATTGAACTTGATTTTATTACTATATGGAGTACACTGATAGGTTAATCAATAACGTTCGACTAAAAAGTACTATGCACAGAATTTCTCCATTCTTTCACCAATACTGCTTTAAATTTGAAAATAATAAATATCTAAGTTTAATGATAACTGAAAGTTTAGTTACAAAGAAAGTTTCAACAAGCTAAATGTTTTTTAAATCATTAACTAAGCCGTAAAATATACTCACTTTTTGCATTATTCAGAAAGAATTGTACGGAAGTTGTTGCTAACACAGTTTGTCGACAGAATGGACATCCTTTAACTGTAGGCTACACAGAATAAAAAAATAATAAAATGAGAATGTATGTAAATATGCATCAATTTGAAATAATAGATGGCGGGGGATGGGTGATTATTAGAGTTTGTATTGTGTCAAAATGGATCAGGTGTTGTACAGTGTACAGTGGAGCGACTTCAAAGATTTCTTCCTCATGATGAAAGTCGAGTAACTAATAAAACATTGTATTAGAATCTTTCTTACACTATGCTTGGGGTCTAAGGGCGAATTTGTACTGCTGGGGAACAGGGGTGTAACAGCAGTGAGGTGTTTCCGTCAGATGACCAGCATACCAGTCAGCTATGCTGTCTCTCCACTCCGGAAAGAAGGGGTTAGAAAATGTCGACCCCAAAAATTGTACATCCCGGCTTACCCTACGGCGGTTCGTAACCGGTGGTAAGTTTACTAATACGGAACCAATCCCAGGGACCATTTCATACAGACCGTGTGTGACCGGCCTGGCTCAAGCAGTTGTCCCCTGGACTCTGCGGTCACGCAATACTCTTTCTGTTTCAGGTACCTGAAGAATCAATCAACTTCCATGGTGTGGACAGTATAATTCCCGCGTGGATAAAATTTGTTTTTGATAAAGACTCACAGTGTTATACAGTAGGTAATATTAACTGATGACCAAGTTTCCAACATAGTTTATATGATCGTATAAATGAAGTTCGAAAGTTGTGCGAGTAACTTCATTTGATAATGAGCAATAAACTGTACTCGAAACGTTATCACTAAATATTACTGTATAACACTGAGACACTTTATGACAATAAATTTTTATTTTTACGAGTTGATCACGGATTGATATCAGTTAGAGAACCACTGAAAACCAGCACTGAAGTACTGGACAGCTGTTTCGTCCTAGTTTGAGAATCATCGTCAGTACGCACCCACTACCAGGGTTCAAACCCAGGACCTCCCGGTTACAAGGCAAGCTCCTATATCATTCAGGCACTGGGACCCGATTCAATGGCCAGTGCATGAATTCTAACTTCTACCAACTCGTAATTTAGCGCGATCACTAACCAGTGTCATCGGTGGAAAATCCATCCGCACATTTGACAGGATGGACCTCACTGGTCATGACTTCTCACTAGAACTCCAAGAAATTCCATCCTGTAGCTGGCTGAATGGTATACGAGCTTGCCTTTTAACCGAAAAGCCTTGGGTTAGAACCCTGTTGATGGATGCGTACTGTCGATGATTCCCGAACTAGGATGAAACAGCTGTCCAGTACTTCAGTGCTGGTTTCCAATGATTCTCTGACTGACAACAATCCGTGATCAACTCGTGAGAACAAATCTAATTCTTACAAACCAACTATTGAAAATAAATCTTATTCACAATGTAATTTTTCAGCAGGATTATTCGGATTTTATTAACCATCAAAGTTTATAGTCAGAAATTACATAAATTGAAGTGAGTTCCTTTGACATTAGTCATTACAGATATGTGATGACTGTTTAAATTTTTCTATTGGTACAAATATCTACTGACAGGTGACCTTCAAATGAACTGACTTCAATTTATGTGATTTTTGACTATATATTTTAGTGGTTTATAAAGTCGGAATAATTCTACTGAATAAGCTGTAACTTACACAGAGAAGCGTACAGAAAACTCTTGTTTTGATTTTTTTTCCTTAATCAAACTGGGATTATTTTAAGTCACTTATTATAATGATTCAGTCTGACTCGGTGCTAAAATTTATCCAGGAAATTCGTAACATCTACGGTCTGGAAACTTATAAACGTAATTAGTGTTGGCTAGTAATTTATTCTGAATTAGCTATACTGGTAATTGTCTACTTGGGGAGCTGAAATACAATTTTAATAAACGGGGAATTTTTGGTAAACCGATAATTTAATAATTGGATCGGGTCCCAGTGCCTTAATGCTATACGAGCTCCCCTTATAACCAGAAGGTCCTGGGTTCGAATCCCGGTGAGTGCGTACTGCTGAAGAGTCCCAAACTAGGACAAAGCAGTTGTCCAGTACTCCCAGGTTTTCCAGTGGTTCTCTAACCAATGTAAGCGCATGATGAAATCCTGTAACCAATCAACCAAATCCCTACAAACCAACACTTTAATATTAAAATGTTTTTGGTGTTGTGTTCTCTCAGCTGGATGGTTTGACCGACTGACTGACTGATTTCAACACAGAACTTTGCAACGATATGCAGCCGTTCCAGTCACCACACTTCACTCAGCACACAAAGCCAGAGAAGAAGAAAGTAGAAAGAAGCGCAGAATGGAGACAGCAAAGACAGATATGAGGCAAAAGGAATAGTAATATCGAAGAACAATATGGTTTCATTGGGATATATGTCACAAGGAGTGGATGCATCTGCGCCAGCCGTTGAGAATGATTTTGAGCCATATCACCGATTGTTTCCAACCATTCATTGGTTTTTGCCATTTCGAGGACCTCAACCAGGAAGTCTACACCTTCCTACCTGGCTGGCTTAAACTAACTGTTGTAGATTTCATTGACTGGTACCACGTTTTGGTTTGACGGCCGGTAGCTCTTTTCCAGCCTGACCCTATGTCAGCTAACATTGCCCATAGTCGAGAAAGGCGACGGCTAGTCATACGTAACACATGTCCTAACCATCTCAGTCGATGTAGCTTCACAGCCTCGTCTCTCCTTATCTAGCACTCGACATCTATTGAACTCAATATAACTCACCGTATTATACAACCACCTAATAGGAGAGATAGAACGCAGACACCTATAATTAAAGACAGCTAGCCTTTCCATGGCCTCCACTCTCAATGACCACGTTTCACAGCCATAAATGAGGACGGAGCGGACTGTTGACCATTACACACGCTCTTCGATCGATAGCCAGATATCACGTCTACCCTAGAGACAGCGTAAACTGGCATATGCGAAACTAGCCCTCTGTATCCGAGCTGAGATTTCGTCAGCGATCACCCTGTCGGGGCTGATGCAACTTCCCAAATAAGTGAGGCGGTAATCACGCTCTACCACTTCACTCCCTATTTCTAAGCTAAGAGTCAATATAGTCCAATCCTGTAGCATCATCTTACATTTGGCGGGAGCAAATCCCATACCAAACAATCGCAGATTACGACTGAAGATTTTCAGAAGACTCTGCATTTTGTTAGCTGGATGGTTTACTTGCTACTACCTACTTGGCATAAATCCTCTCCACTATATCTGAGTTAAGATGTTATATACCATATCTACGACCTTCAGAATTCACTCTTGTAAACAAGATTATTAATGAGCAATGTTTATATTAACCTGTATCGCCCTATAATTGTAAAGACTAAAATACTTTGCATACACTTTAAAGTTATTTTTGTATAAAATTCACTGATATGCGGCTAGCTTTAAAACATTCATTAAGCACACTAAGTTTAGTAGTTTAGAGAAATCCAGCACCTATTCATCAATTCAAGAAATATTTGTTTCAATTCACGTTAGCGCTAGGAAGTAAAGTAATAACAGTCATATTATCTTCACTTAAGTGAATATGGAATATATACATAATCTGAACTTGTATGCACCAGCAGTTACCTGTCAATTTACGTAGCAGTTGTAGTTATTTGATGAAAGACAATGTCTTTAAACAGTAACCGTCATCCTAATGAGTATTTTAAGTAACTAATTAGTCAAGACATTCATTGAATAAATTAGCTTTTGCATAGTAATACAGAACTAAAACACTTAGCCTCCATCATAATAAATACAGTAATAATAATAATAGTAATGCAACTCTGGTATTCATTACAGACTCTTAGCTTATTGGCTTATGAACCATAACTTATGTGTGAGTGCTTATGACATAGCATCAAAGAAGTTGAAAAGGAGTTTGTACTCACATCCGATTAGATCATATGTGAATGATTAGTTCGAGAGGTCCTCTTTCATTGTATTCTATACTAGGTCAAACTACCCATTGAGCAAATAAACTACTGTAAAAATAAAAACTATCCCTTTTGCACTATTATGATAAAGGTGACGCAAAGATTTTAGAGCTAATAAGCCAATACTCTACAAAGTGCATTTATTCACAAAGCTATAAACAGTCTGATTAAATGTTAATTTTTGAATGGTGACTTGCAGTGGAATCCAGGATAACGCGCATTTCGTCCTATTTGTGACTCATCCGCCAGCTGGATGTGCCTGAATTCCGCAGTGAGTGATAATATTTCCACCAAGGCTCGAACTCAGTGCCCAAGTCTCAAATGGGAGGAAATGCGCATCCTGTATTCCACTGCTAATCGCCATCCACCAACTAACTTCTAATTACATGCCAAAACATCGTCGAAGCATCTGAACAAAAGCTGACATGTCAACCTGAGACCGAACACTTCGGTCCAATCAATCGACGGGAAAATCTAAAATAATCTAATTAAATACCTTTGAAATTTCCTATCAACAATATGCTGAAGATAAAAGTCAGTGTATACTTAAAATTTTAATGCTTTTTTTAAAGCAGTTGCGTTCTCTGAGCTAAAAGAATCTTCTCTATTATGTCTAAATTTTATTGTAAATGCCATAAAATGATGCAAATACTTGTTATTTATATTATAAAGATTGATTTTGATGCACAAAGTGAAACATAAAGGTGCATAAAACATTAAAAGCTAAACTTTCAATGCACTGACTGATTAACAAACAACGCTGAGCAACGAACAGATTTAGTAGTAATTTGAATAGCCTTTAGCCAACCCGTCTTAAAGCCATTCGAACCTCTGCTAGAAGGTTAGCACTCTGAAAACCAAAATAACAGCTGCCAGGGAATTGAAATAAACGTATATGCACTGCTTTGCGTCAGTACACTCAACAAGTGCTATGGAATTCAAACATGACTCAAAATTTTTATTATTATAGCTTGATTCCACATAGTATTTTTGGTACAACTATGAAATTTTCAGTGTGTGATATCGGTAGCTCAAATTTAGCAGGCCAACCATTGACATCAAGTGTGTGTTGACGGAGGTTCGAACGCCGGATCATGTGTATGGTCGGCAAGCATTCTAACCGCTGTGCCACCAACGCACAGATAAAAAGAACTTTAAATTTATCGTCATCGCGTAGCCTTTGAATGATGTACATTTACACTTATAATAAATCAAGCAAGTTACATTTACATCATCAAAAATTAGAACTTACTATCCATTTGATTGAGCATTTTAAACATAAATGATGTTTACACGGTTCAAGTTGAACTGTTTTTTCAAATTCCATGCATATACCACATGACAGGACAGATTCAGAGTTTCGATTATCCGTAGGACTAACAATACACATCTGAGTTTGATTTACAATTTCACTGAGGTCTGGATTTTGATTTGAATCAAGACCTCGTGGGAAAATGCACCTAAAGAAGATGGAATAGGAAATTAACTAAAAAGTTGGAGGGTTAGCCGGTCACCACTTAAATCATTAACATAAAACCAAAAATCTAAACTGACAACTTTCAAGAGTCTTAGAAGAGCACAGAAAACTTCTTAATTTACTCACTTTGCTTTGATGAATCGTGTTTTATTGAATGGGAAAAATATTATCTTAATAGGTACAACAAGATATTAGATTATTCAGAACCTTACAAACAGATAACTTTGAGGGAATAAAAAACTTGTGGACAGATTTAAACAGAAAGTATATGCTATGAAGAAACACAGGATGTCAGAGATTATTTGTAATCAGTTCCACCGTGGTTCCGAATTCCTCGACACTGCATAACTCTAAAATTGCCTATGTTTGAGAGGATGAAATTCATACCTTCTGAAAAGCGAAAATAAGTGTTTGCCAATTTATCATAATAATCTATTTATACTAGAAAATACCTTTTAACTAATTAACAGCTTATATTGCTTAAATAGTACACCAGAAACATAAATTTTCAAGTATTGGTTTCTGTAGGGATTTTGTTTGATCGGCTAGAGGGTTTCATCATGAGCTGATATCAATTGGAGAACCACTGGGAAACCTTGGAGTACTGAGCAGCCATTTCTTCCCAGTTTGGGAGTCTTCGTCAGTACGCACTCACCGTGGTCGCGCTGCTATGAATTGGCAAGAGTTGAAATTCATCGGCTGGCCAGTGGATCGGCCGGGTCCCAATGTGGTGAGAGCAGGCTGCTAGCCGATTGGTTGGCACTAATCTACGTTAAGGTCTAGGTCACTAATATGGGCCGTGAGAAAATATGAACAAGCCTGAGTCAACAACCAATCACAGCAAAGTTAACGTGGCAGAATATGATTCGCAGAGAGAACTCTATTTGTCAAGGAATCCCGAAACAACCAATCAGAAGCCTGCGTTTGTCTACCTAAACAACCAATCAGATGACTGCGCTTGTCTATAATAATGTAGTTGAAAGATGTATAAATACGTGTTGATTTTCATAATAAAACGATCTGTTGCCTGGCCCTTGTCTTCTGTTGTTACATTTGGTGTCGCTGCCTACCGACAAATGAAAAGCCTATACCCTGCAGTTTTTGATGGAGACATATGGATCTTCGGGCAGGACTTCAAGGCTTCTGCGCAGTTGAGTGGCGTTCAAGATCTGTCAGCGATGGAGCTGCTACTTGAGACGCTGCTGGGAGGTCGGGCGAAAGCAGCATATGAAGGTGTGGGCCGAAGTATGGACGAATGTTCGACAGGGTCAGGCAAACAGTTTCCAAAGTGGGAAGGACCATATATGGTCACTTCGAGATGGGGTTACGCAGACACAGTCGCAATGGCGAACAATGAGAGGCGCGTGAACGTCAGCGAGCTCCAGAAATGGATACAGCGAGACAAGCCAACGATGACGCCTGCACCAAGTAGATCAAGCCGACTTCAGTCGCACGTATTTGACGGGGGGACGAGTGTGGTGAGAGCAGGCTGCTAGCCGATTGGTTGGCACTAATCTACGTTAAGGTCTAGGTCACTAATATGGGCCGTGAGAAAATATGAACAAGCCTGAGTCAACAACCAATCACAGCAAAGTTAACGTGGCAAATATGATTCGCAGAGAGAACTCTATTTGTCAAGGAATCCCGAAACAACCAATCAGAAGCCTGCGTTTGTCTACCTAAACAACCAATCAGATGACTGCGCTTGTCTATAATAATGTAGTTGAAAGATGTATAAATACGTGTTGATTTTCATAATAAAACGATCTGTTGCCTGGCCCTTGTCTTCTGTTGTTACATTTGGTGTCGCTGCCTACCGACAAATGAAAAGCCTATACCCTGCAGTTTTTGATGGAGACATATGGATCTTCGGGCAGGACTTCAAGGCTTCTGCGCAGTTGAGTGGCGTTCAAGATCTGTCAGCGATGGAGCTGCTACTTGAGACGCTGCTGGGAGGTCGGGCGAAAGCAGCATATGAAGGTGTGGGCCGAAGTATGGACGAATGTTCGACAGGGTCAGGCAAACAGTTTCCAAAGTGGGAAGGACCATATATGGTCACTTCGAGATGGGGTTACGCAGACACAGTCGCAATGGCGAACAATGAGAGGCGCGTGAACGTCAGCGAGCTCCAGAAATGGATACAGCGAGACAAGCCAACGATGACGCCTGCACCAAGTAGATCAAGCCGACTTCAGTCGCACGTATTTGACGGGGGGACGAGTGTGGTGAGAGCAGGCTGCTAGCCGATTGGTTGGCACTAATCTACGTTAAGGTCTAGGTCACTAATATGGGCCGTGAGAAAATATGAACAAGCCTGAGTCAACAACCAATCACAGCAAAGTTAACGTGGCAAAATATGATTCGCAGAGAGAACTCTATTTGTCAAGGAATCCCGAAACAACCAATCAGAAGCCTGCGTTTGTCTACCTAAACAACCAATCAGATGACTGCGCTTGTCTATAATAATGTAGTTGAAAGATGTATAAATACGTGTTGATTTTCATAATAAAACGATCTGTTGCCTGGCCCTTGTCTTCTGTTGTTACACCAATACCTTAATTGTCGATGAGTGCGCCTTCTAACCAGAAGGTCCTGAGCTTGAACCCCGGAGGGTGCGTATTCATGAAGCGTCCCAAACTAGGACGAAACAGCTGTGCAGAAACATAAACGTCAACTGAATAGTTCGTATTAACCAATGTCTGGAGGAAAACTATACACTAAAGTGAGAGTACAACATTTAAATTTGAAGCAGACAAGCACGTGCGATCTACTGTTTTCGTCTTTTGAGTACTTCTTGTTAAAAGTAAATGTCAAAAAATCAACATTGAAGTCATAAATTTTAACGACTTTTGGCAATCTATGTCACTTCTAAAATTAGCAGCTACATACCAGGAAGAACAGAGAATATAGAAGCGATTTTACATATATATATATATATATATATATATATATATATATATATATATATATATATATGTATATATAACCAAAGGTTTTGGGAAAGTATATAAATACTACTCATTTCCTATTTCTATGCTCCTGAGTGCAGCCATATGAGAATTTTAACCGAATATATAAATTAGATGATTGGAAATACGAAAAAGATAACTTCAGCTAAGAATAAAAAATATATCCCATTCGACGAAGTCATCTACTAGGCTGTCTTTTTGCGAATGCGAAACAATGGGGTGAAAAAGTTCCAGAAGCATTTTGGGTCCGAGGTCAAAGTATAACGAATAACAAGGCAAAGTTGTATAATATAAACAAGGATTCGAAAATTAGAAGAAATATAAACAGGAAGTACGGACAAAAAATTACCGGAATTGTGAATTGCCGTGGTAAAGTCAAGGGTTGAACATACTCCTTTGGATATATAGCTTTAGCCTGAAATTTTGGGACACTAATCCTTCAACTACGACTAGATGTCTTGATTTCTCTCCCTTTGAGAGAATTGACTGGATTTTGTATATGGCTTTAAAGGATCTCTTAAATGGACCGTAGTGTCATGATTTCAAGAGATGTTCAGTTATCCAACTATAGACGTACTTTCCATCTCCCTTAGCTAGTCAGGCTAGATGATGTTCCACAGCGTGGTGTACATTCAGACGTATGGTACTCAGCTCAACAGAAGAAAAATGAATTGATAAATGAAGCAGCATACAGATACCGGTGCTAAGACAACAAGAAAATATTTAATTAGTGTAGACGAAAGAGGTGCTTACTTGAAAGTTCCCATTCCTATGGAATGCGTATATAAGGTAAAAGAGTTAGTCAGTATTTAATTGGAAAGGGTGTATTCAACATTACTAAAAACTATCGAATATATAACATCATATTGTTAAAACAAAATAATACACAGAATAAAATTATTACAACTTACAGTTTTCTGTGTTTTGTCTCTTCAAGATAATCAGCTAGATAATGAGAACGACATACAATCTGAACAGGTTTTTCGTCTTCTCCTACATAACCGACAGACCAGAATCCAATATTATTACAACTCAGACGAAAAACAAAGCTATAAAAGTGAAAAATTACATTTGATTACAACCGATGAAATTTTACTTGCTTTTCAGATGGATCAGGATTAAATACAATCATACATTAAGTATAAAGCAAACTTACTTTTTGGGTAGCGATTGTTCACAACAACTTGGACGCATTTGATCTTCACCATTTGCCAAGTTTCATACTTTTTCACTAGGCATTCAGTTACTTTCTTTTTCACTCCTCGCCGCTTTGACTCTCTTCCAACAGGTTTGACCACGGATTGATATCAGTTAGAGAACCATTGAAAACCAGCACTAGAGTAATGGACAGCTGTTTTTATCCTAGTACCATTTTATTTCTGCTGATTTCTTTTCTATGCTTCTAAGATGTGTGTAGGAGATCCAGCTAGTATACTCACACTGACCTAATTATGTGCTTACATGAAAAGGAAGATCTAGTATATCCAATATATTAGGATTTCTATTTGCTTTACTACTCCCGATAAAAAATCTGACATCATTGATTTTCAAATCACGCATCCGAGTTCTCCAGAAACTAATTTTCTTTGATTTGCAGTGCAGATCTCAAGATAAGAAACATCTCAGCTATGTAGAAAAGATTACGAACCAATAATTACACTATCTTTCGAATTCAGTTATGAGATTCCCGTTGACTGATTGGACCCAAATGTTCAATTTGCCCTATTCAGGTAGGTAGTTACCTGGGGTTCTAGTGAAAAGTCGTGACCGGTAGATTGCAGCAGGTCGGGTGTGAGGACAAATATTCGCCGAAGACATTAGCTAGCGCTTGCGCTATATCACGAATTGTCAGAAGTTAGGATTCATTAACTGGCCATTGGATCGGGTCCCAGTGGTTTAATGGTATACGAGCTCGCTAGTCTTGTAACCAGAAGGTCCTGGGTTCGAACCCTGGCGGTGGGTGCGTACTGATGAAGAGTCCTAAACTAGGACGAAACAGCTGTCCAGTATTCCCTGCAGGTTTTCCAGTGGTCCTCTAACTAATGTCAGTTCATGATGAAAATCCTGTAACCAATCAACCAAATCCCTACAAACCAACACTTGAATGTACGGCCTCTGTTGACATATCGACTCCAATCGGAGACGCTTCGATGATGTCTGAGGGTAAATTGAAGTCAGAGATGGCCCTCTTGGACCAAGTGATCCAGTTAACATTGTTTTGGTGTTTGAAATTATGGATACGGTGTTTGAGTCGCAGTGGGAACACTGGAGATTACAAGTACTTCCAGATGATGAGTCCGATATAGGACGAAATGTGCATCCTGCTTTTCACCGAATTACTTCAATAAATCTATAGTTGGTTTGAATAACTACAAATGGATTTTACTTTATAATGTTTGTATTCTACCCTATAGTTTTTAGAGGTTACACAAATCTTGAGAAAATAGATATTTCCATAGAAGCCTTTTTTTAAATAATAGGTTATTTTACATATATTTAATATTTAGACAACTGTTAATTCATCAGTGTGATTTAAAAGACCGATGTAGAGAAATCAAATGAAGGGTTCACATTTACAAAAAAGCGTAAAATACTCATTGGTCGGCTACGGATTGTGGATGTACGTAATTCAAAAGATTAATAGCAGTGATGATGTTTATGTACAATAAAGCATGAAAATAAAATTTCGAATTGTTAAATATGCTAGGTTTCTATGCTTGCAATCATGTGTAAGAGTGAAGTATTACAAACAATTGACCTCTTCATAATGCTACTGAGTGCTAATGCTTACTGTGTTTCTTCATATAAAAATTTCATATATTTAGTGATATAGTAGAATAAAGCAGGATAACAGTTTAAACACTGATAGATGACACTAAAATTTCTAGTTCATAAGCATTGTTAGATTTTCTGATATTAGAGATAGAATTATGACCTCACATTTTAATGTGTACCACAAAAAATTACAAATACAAACGAATCACAAGAACTCAGTAACAATAGAGACTAAATGTCATACATTTATTCCCCTTAATAAATTCGAACATAGAAAGAACTACAGTTTTAGCAGAATAAAGTGCTACCATCTTTTATTTCGTCGCCTTCTCGTCAGCTGCTTACAGGTCAAAGACATTAATAAATAGTAAGCATAAAGTATATCTACAAAAACAATTGTAACATACTTGCACAGAGTTCACTTTAAACAAAAATCAATCGATCAACATATGCATACAGTGACAATATATACATATAATATTAAACATTATTCCGAACAATAATAATCATACACAATGGAAACTTTTCAGCATTAAGCATTCGGATGAAAGAAAGATGAAAATATCCAGTTACCAGTTACGGCAAAGAAAGACTGACAACTGCTTCTTTCTGGACGCATAAATCAGGTTTCAGGCGCTTGATGGAAACGGCTTCAGCAACCTTAAGGAGAAATGAGCTCTTTTGCCTATTGATAATTTTGAACAACTCTTTGACGTCTACCTCACTACCCATGTCAAGGAGATGCATGGAGATGGCACTGTTTAAAGCATTTGTCCCCTCGAGACATAAGCTTTTTGGTACATGTTGAGAAAATCGGAAGTATGCCCTCCTTCTTTCTGTCCTTCCAATGTAACTGCTCCCACAGATACATGTAAATTTGTTTATACACAGTTGGAGTTAGCATGAGAAGGATATCTATCGATTTTTGATTGCACCAAAGATCAAGTTGTTCGATAGACGAAGACGAGCTTAGCTGCAGGACTGGCTATGGCTAGTGATGTACTCAGTCTTCTGTTGATCATCACTGCAATGTTTTCACCTTTATAATCAAGCTGAATGTAGACTAGCTTTTTCTCCACTGTGATTTGTCTTACACTTGTGACTTCGGATCTTCCACACTTGTTGATGAACCTTTGAGGGTAGCAATTCTATCTTTTCAAGAAACTCAAATTCTTCCTCTAATTTCTCTATAAAGCATATTCTCCTCGCTCTATAGTACAGAGTTTTGACTAGTCTGCTGTTAAAATGTAAGTAATGTTCATTTCAAATAGGCTTTCGATAAACTGACTTCTGAAGACTACTGCCTTCTAGGCGTTCCATGGCAATGTCGAGGAAGTTTAACTTTTCATCACTTTCATGTTCCACAGTAAACTCAATATTGGTTTGTGTAAGTATGTTAAAATTGTTTGTGTAGTTATATTTATTAATGTCTTTGGCCTGTAACCAGCTGACGAGAAGGCAACGAAATAAAAGATGGTAGCACTTTGTTCTGCTAAAACTGTAGTTCTTGCTTTGTTCAAAGAGACTGAATAATTTCGCTTAATTTTAAAACCTGGAACACACATTAGGTAGACAAGTTCTACAAGAAAGTTGACTGAATCCAAACTGCTAGTTTACCAAGAAATAACATAACAATCCAGGTACACTTCTACTCATTGTAAAAGTGTAAAAAGAAACGTTTAATTTGTTAAGAAGTTAGCATAAACACGTGAACTGGACCAATGCCAATCTGTCAATATAAGAAATATACAAAAGTTGTTCACTCACTCAAACCATTAAGTGACAACTGAAATGTGAAAATTAATGACACTATATTAAACTACATTTTTTATGATTACAACAGGTTGAATAAACCACATGTTAGGCATGCTACGTGTAATAATATGCATCGGTAGCTTATCCGTTGAATGCTCGGTAACAATGCATGTGGTCCAGGAATTCGATCTCCTGCCGACGTGATCCTAAACCTCGCTAGGTCAGCAATAAGACTGGTAAAGAGGGGAAGTTAGGCATGAAGCGAAAAACTTCACCTCGTAGAAATATTGAAAAAACACTGTTACCGAAACTTCAAAGCTCCAGGTTGAAGTCCTCTGACCGATTGGCAATGTAAAGAAATAAAATATTTAAAGAACATAGAACCTGAATAGGAAGTGTCGAGTTAGTCGTCAGTGCAAAAGCGACATGGAGGAGATCATACGAAAAGGAGATGAGAGTATGTGAGCAGACATGGAGCCAGGTGAAAATGATGGAGGAGAACCGAACATTTACATGTACGTGCCAAAGCACATATATTGGAAGAACAGAGAGAAGGGTTATTGTCCGCATCTCTGAACACATACCAAAGAACCTGAGACTGAAAGGTCCGCAAGCATTAAACAGTGCGATTGCGCGTCACCTATTGGACACTGGTCATATTGTAGACAATCTGAAGTCGTTCAAAATAATCAACAAGCAAAAGAAACCTAGATTGCTACGCTTTGCTGAAGTAATTGCTCTCAAATGACTCAAACCAAATCTATGTACGCAGAAAATATACAACGTGTATGAGTTACCTTTTTTCATATTTAGAAAACTCTACTCTCTCATCTAAACATGACTCAACCTACCTTGTTTCTTTTCGTTTTTTCTCTATTTGCTATCAGATAAAACATTTTCTTTAGTTACGTAATTTACTTTTTGTTATGCTCTTCCTAGTTAAACCTTGTTTCTATACACACACATATGTATGCGCAACTCTGTTTTCTGTTTTCAAGCCTAATTGTCTAATGATTCTATAAATAGTCAGTGTTTGTAACTTTAATATAAGAATAAAACTTGTGCACTGTGGTAAAGTGTAATTCCATTATGCGTAAATTTTGTTTTGATAAAGTCTCACAGTGTTATACAGTAATGTTTACTGATGACGTTTCGAGCACAATTTATTGCTCATAATCATATCAAGGTGATATGATATGATTATGAGCAATAAATTGTGCTCGAAACGTCATCAGTAAACATTACTGTATAACACTGTGAGACTTTATCAAAACAAAATTTACGCATAATGGAAGTGTTTGTAACTCTTAGTTAGTTAAATCATTCCGGATTAATGTTACTTTTACTTCCTACCAATTACTCCTTGTGATTGTAGAGAAGTATGTTTAAATCTTTAAAGTAATTCATGGTTTTTTTTATCGTTCAGGCTGTAACCAGTTGAGAAGAATCCTCGAAATAATAAAAGATGAGCTCATATTGCCTTGGTACAATAGTTGTTCTTGCTTTCTTCAAAAGAATTATATAATAATACATTCAACATTGAAACTGCATCTACACCATCCTTACTTTCAGAGTTTATTAACTGATGATTTATTTATATTATAAAAAAAATTACCAGTAAACAACAAGAAATTATGAATGTTGAGTAGTCATCATTCATTGTCTTAAACAAGTAAACTTACGTTCCAGGTTTGGTGGTAAATTTAAGAAGTAAATTATGAGCATCACTAAATGTTGACCAAGGCATAAAGGCAGGATGTTCATAGATTAGTTTTTTCCAAACTTTGAAACAATTTCTCCATGGAGGAAAGAGTCTAAAATAAAGTAAAAAAAAATAAATACTCCTATAAAGTTATACTAATTTCTTGGTGATACGTATGTATTTGTAATGTAATTTGAGGCCTATTAAGATATTATGTTTAAACTATTTAGTATGTTGGCTAGTAACCTATTTTAAAAAAATGCAGACACAAATGAACTAGTGATAATTGCTCACTCATGCATGATGTCTAACATTTTCCCATAAGAAGAAATATAAGTTAGAATTGGTGTACTGACCATTGAATCGGGTCCCAGTGTCTGAATAGTACACGAGCTTGCCTTGTAACCGGAAGGTCCTGAGTTCGAACCCTGGTAGTGGGTGCGTACTGCCAACGATTCCCAAACTAGGATGAAACAGTTATCCACTACTCTCTGCTGGTTCTCAACGGTTCTTTGACTGATACCAATCTGTGGTCAAACTCGTAATAAAATATTCCTATAGATCTAAATTTCTTTGTTCTAAAATGTAATTTACCGGCATATTTAACTGCTCCTGTAGAGCCAGTTATATAGGCCGTAAAATTAAGCTTGTTTCTTACCAAATTTCCGAACATCATCCTCCATTATTGGTTAAGTAATATACAAACAATATCCGTTCATAGTGCTATTCTATCTCATCGTGTGAATACAGAACACAAGATCGATGTCAACGAGGCTGTCAAAGTCATCTACCGCCTACCAACTAATATTAACTTCACCTTAAGAGTTCGTCTACTACATATTGCTGAAGCTGGCCGTTGGGATTCACATTAAGAAATCTAACTTATGTGTCTAAAAAATGTTGATTGGTTCAGACACTGTCATTACCCAGCCAGTCATCCTGGTTCTAATGATCCTGAATTTTTTGTAGAAGATTCCTTAATTTTATTTAATATTCTGTTTACTATTATATTTTCATGTTTATTGTAATGTATGCATCTCTGCTTAACTGTAATTCCATTGATCTTATTTTACAAATCGAAATTATTTTAAAAAAACATCAATATTGTTACTGGCTACTATTCTAGAATATTCTGTGTATGCAAACATATATATGTATATAATTGTAAAGCCAGAAGAGGGAATTATCTAAAAGGAAATTTTTTGCTCATTTTTTTATTTTTCTATATATTAGTTAATTCTTACCGAATCATGCCGATTCAAGGAAGTGATAACTAATGGTAAATTTACTAGATCATAAAACTGCAGAAAACAAAAAGTTATTAGTAGCCCATAACATTCGAAAAAAAAGACTACAGCCTCAGCATTTAATTTGACAGTCAGTTTAACATCCCAATGTCTAAAAACCACAAATTGGAAGATATGCAAGTGAAAAGCAACAAGTTGGCGGAAGAAGCATCCAGTGAAGATAAGACTTCAGGTGAACATAGATAAAACATAGGTGATGAAGATTCCTAGCCAACAGCAACAACAACAACAGACAACAGTCAGCCAGAATAAATGGGAGGAACCTGAAAGAAACAGCCTCCTTTACCTACTGACCTAGGTGGAAAGCATCGTTTCAACTACAGGTTGACGGGACTGACGAGGAAATCAAAGCAAGAATTGGGAAAGCAAAACAAGCTTTCATTAGTCTTAAGTCTGTGTGGAGGTCAACAGCACTCAGCATCAAAAATAACATTCGGATTTTCAACTCCGATGTGAAGCCAGCCAGTGCTACTATACGGATCAGAGACTCGGCGAGTCATAAAGAGCATCTCAAACAAACTTCAGACCTTCATTAACAGTTGTCTTCGCTCAACAGTGCTCAAAATCAGATGACCAGCCAGAAAAGATCAGCGACAGGCATCTCTGGGAGGGAACCAACCCAGTAGGAACCGATTGTGAAACAAATAGGCATGAGGAAATGGAGATAGATTGGCCATACTCTGAGGAAACAAACCATCAAGTGACATCACTAGACAAGCCATTGCTCGAGTGGAACCCGAAAGGGAAGCGGCGAGTTGGTCGTCAATGCAAGGGTGATTTGGTGGAGGTCATGTGAAGAGGAGATGAAAGAGTGTTGGCAGACTTGGAGCGGGGTGAAAAAGTTGGCAGAGAACCGAACGCAATGGAGATGCGCAGCTGAAGCCCTATGTTCCTCTAGGAATTAAAGGAAATAATAGTAATAATAAATAATAATATCTAGTAAGTTATTTCTTTTTTCCGTGAAGTTAGGTTATTACTTTTCGTATAAATTGTCAAGAAAATAGGACTTGGTAGAGTACACCTTCATAATGGATAAGATTTTATTTTGATAAGTAACACAGTGTTATACAGCAGTATTAACTGATGACCACGTTTCAAGCACAAATTATTACTGCTCATAATCACATCAAAACACTCATTCACACAACTTTCTGCTTCATTTATATACATGAGTAAAATTAATTAGACGTTTGAATAGAAATCAGTATAAGATAACGTACATGCAGAAATAATAATATTATTGTTATCAATAAAATACAACAAGATGGGAAATAAGATGTTTTTATAGTCAAAATAAGTAACTTGTTAGAATGTTATAATGTGAATTGATTACATTTTAACATTATTTATTATCCTCCTCTGATTTGACTGGTAAAAGTATCTTCCATATTTCTGGTATTACCGTTGAGTCATTTCAGTTGCATGTGTTGGGTGTAGACTCGATGAACCAGGTTTTAGTGACCAATCTCTGTCGCTCTTCACCTACCTATATTACTTTTTAAAATTTTAACTCTGTCCCATCCTATTGTTTGGTTGTGTGTTAATGCACGCAGTGCTATTGCTGATTTTTTCTCTAAATTACTTATCTTCTTGGGATTAATCACTGTAACCTTAGCTAAATTCGTATGTTCTGACAAACGATCTCACTACTCCTGATCTACTGGTTTGACTGATCTATGTAGTTGACTTAATTCACAGTCATTGCAAGGTATTTTGTAAATTATATTATTTTGTTTAATTGGGTCAACCTACAGGGTCCTTTAGTTTAAAGAGCTTGTCTCTGAATGAGTTTGTACGTTTGAATGTCACCTTAATTCCTGCTTTATTGAGAATCCTACGTAGAGCCTCAGATGTCCCTACCTTATATGGCACAACTATTGTAGATGCCTTTATATTCTCTTATTTACGTTACCATTATTAGTTTCACCACTACTTTTATTTTGCTTTTCACCTTTTTTGATATTCCTAATGAATTTTATAGGATAGTCAGTTATTTAATACCAACACCTCTTAAAATCGGTTTCATTTCATTATTTAGGTCTTTTCTTGTGCTACTGCTCGGTTTGTAAGACATTTAACTAACATGAAAGTTGCCTTCTTAAATATACAATCGATACTCTAGCAATTCTAGTTCACCTAGTCTACCTAACCAATCACATTTTTAGACCGCATGATTAAAACACTTAAAATGCAAATAATCAAAAAGAATATAAGTGCCTTTATCACTGATGATGTAGGCAACCCATACTACATAGTAAACAGTATAATAAGTATAAAAATAAAAATAAAATTATTACATAACAGCTTCTATACCTGGAAAATATATCCAAAGCATAAACAGATACATAATCCTCTGAAGCAAAACTGAATGTATCATGTAGCGGTTCATGCATATGACCATCTGTGATACCAAATTCACCGGTAAATGCTTGTAGAAATCCATTCCATGAAACAGAGTATCTAGAAAACGAAACAATTTTATAGACAGTAGTGGAAGTAATAATAAATACATACATTTATTCGTCTTAATGAATTCGAACATAGAAAGAACTACAGTTTTAGCAGAATAAAGTGCTACCATCTTTTATTTCGTCGCCTTCTCGTCATCTGCTTACAGGTCAAAGACATTAATAAATATATCTACAAAAACAATTGTAACATACTTGCACAGAGTTCACTTTAAACAAAAATCAATCGATCAACATATGCATACAGTGACAATATATACATATAATATTAAACATTATTCCGAACAATAATAATCATACACAATGGAAACTTTTCAGCATTAAGCATTCGGATGAAAGAAAGATGAAAATATCCAGTTACCAGTTACGGCAAAGAAAGACTGACAACTGCTTCTTTCTGGACGCATAAATCAGGTTTCAGGCGCTTGATGGAAACGGCTTCAGCAACCTTAAGGAGAAATGAGCTCTTTTGCCTATTGATAATTTTGAACAACCCTTTGACGTCCACCTCACTACCCATGTCAAGGAGATGCATGGAGATGGCACTGTTTAAAGCATTTGTCCCCTCGAGACATAAGCTTTTTGGTACATGTTGAGAAAATCGGAAGTATGCCCTCCTTCTTTCTGTCCTTCCAATGTAACTGCTCCCACAGATACATGTAAATTTGTTTATACACAGTTGGAGTTAACATGAGAAGGATATCTATCGATTTTTGATTGCACCAAAGATCAAGTTGTTCGATAGACGAAGACGAGCTTAGCTGCAGGACTGGCTATGGCTAGTGATGTACTCAGTCTTCTGTTGATCATCACTGCAATGTTTTCACCTTTATAATCAAGCTGAATGTAGACTAGCTTTTTCTCCACTGTGATTTGTCTTACACTTGTGACTTCGGATCTTCCACACTTGTTGATGAACCTTTGAGGGTAGCAATTCTATCTTTTCAAGAAACTCAAATTCTTCCTCTAATTTCTCTATAAAGCATATTCTCCTCGCTCTATAGTACAGAGTCTTGACTAGACCACGTTTAAAGATATTCGGACAAAAGCTATTAAAATGCAAGTATTGTCACTTCCATGTAGGCTTTCGATAAATTGACTTTGCCCTGTGAGCAGCTGACGAGAAGGCAACGAAATAAAAGATGGTAGCACCTTATTCTGCTAAAACTGTAGTTCTTGCTTTGTTCAAATAAATACATATACGTCAGTGTATGCATCATATGAATAATTAATTAATAATTACTTACTTTTTACCAAATACTGTATCCCACCAAATTCCTGTTTCCTGTCTAACAAAATGATATTCTTCACTTATTGGAACACCGTTAGGCAATACAGAACAAAGTTCTTCAAATCTATGAAAAATCATCAATTTACAATATAAAAATATGTGAATAGAAAGACAAAATAAAAAGAATAGTGACTAGCTGCTACAATCTACAGAATAAACAATCTTTAAAAAAAATCATTTTTCACCAGAAAATGACTCATATTTAGAGACTAGTGCAATAAAAGAAAGTTTAGTAAGTATAGAGTAAATGAATGTAATTGTGTTTAGGTCAGACAGATGCGTGTCAAGGTAAAACGGTAAAAGTGTATTGTTAAATGAAAAGTAAACAAGTTAGAATACCTGAAAATAAAACCTACAATAACTTTTCAATGAATAGTTTTCTTTTTCTTTGTTTACGAGTTTGACCACGGATTGATATCAGTTGGAGAACCATTGTTAAACCAGTCACAGGGAGTACTGGACAGCTGTTTCATCCTAGTCTGAGAATCATCGGAAATACGCACCCAGGACCTTCGGGTTACAAGGCATGTTCGTATACTATTCAGCCACTGGGTCCCGATTCAACGGCTAGCACATGAATTCTAACTTTTACTAATTCGTGATTTTTTCAGCGCAACCACACAGCAATGTTATCGGTGGGAAATGCATCCTCCCACTTGACTGGATGGACTTCACTGGTCAGAACTTCTCACTGGAACTCCAGGAGACTCCGTTCTGTAGCAAGTCAGAAGCTGCTAAAATGAAAAGTAAATTAGTTTTCTAAACTTTGATTGTAATATTGTCCAGTGAACCCACAATTAATTTTAGAAGCACTCCAAAATATGAACCATGTAAATATTTAGCTACAGAAATAGTTCCCTTTAGAGACAGTCCAAAATTCAAACTTTTGCATGCTTATAAATTGACTCTTAAATTATATCATCTGAAATTTGAAAATCAAGAAAAACATGGTCAGTTCAAATGTCACCAGCTTGTGCATACAAATGCTAATAAACATGATTCTAGAAGCTATTAGGGACAAATTTAACTCTGATCAACAGCCAAAGCACCAATAGAAGACATGATGGTGGGAATACAGCTATGCCTTTATACTATTTAAGCTTCGATAATAAATATAAAAAGTCAGCTGCCATGAGGCCACGGATATCCCTAAATGTGACATATGCACTAACGGATAGGTTGGAAAAGTTAGTTCTTCAAACGTTCAGCCTCACTGTCAAAGTATGGGGGCTGAGTGCAGATGGAGAATTTACAGTATTAAAGATTGGATATTTACATAAATTTTTCAAGCATATAAATTCAGTGGTAGAAGCAATTTAGTTCACTTTTGATTTAGCAATTCAGGAAAAAGAGTTTTCGATGCTAAGTTGTGTAATAAAGCGAAGATAACATCACATTTTAGGTAGTAACGTTCACAGTAAAATAACACAATCAACCTGATACCTGGACTTAAAGTCATTCGGGTATTCATCGATGAAAACAGAACTAGCGATATGTTTAGGTGTTACGGCGAAACAGCCAGAGAGTATAAAATAAAATCCCCGACAGCAAGTAAAAGAGTACTCTTGACATTAAAAGTATGTACACGAGACAAAATGTAAGACCTTCGTAGTGCCACAACATACTGAAACTTTAGACAGGATTCTTAAAAAGGCAATAACATAAGTGGCATTTTAATTCAGAAATTCTAATGGAAACAAAGAACAACAAATTGGTGAATTCTGTTAACACAAAAAACCTAAATATGCCCAGCTACGGCACTACACGAACTTATAAATAAGTGCACAATAGGATGGCACAAAGTGAAGGTCCTAAAATCTGGTATAACTGGGTAAACAAGGAAATTCACGAAAGATTTCTTCATATAATCAACTGAGAATACTTAGCAGGAATGATTCAACACCAAGCCGAGACATCTGTAAAATTCTATTTCGTTTATGAAAAATGGGAAAGAAGGATGAGGATTATAAAACCCAAGTTTTGAAGTCCTGTAGTTACAGTTGACATGACTGCATTCAGTTAGCCATGTTCAAAGCGTCATCCAGTAAATAATACTGTTTCAGTGTGTGATCTACATGATAAAAACTAATATGGAATTATAAACTACCACAGTGCTAAAGTTCCGCGCATTATATTTGGGATAGAACTACAGCACACATATAGGTGTGCTGTTGTGACAGTTCCTGCATCATATTATCCTCGACTCTGTAGACTTATGTTCAAGTGAAACTTAGTCAACCATTCTACACCTCCACACAGTTTAGACTAATATTGATTGGCTTTATGGAAAAGTCTTAAAATCCATTCTGACGTCAGATAATATAGCTTGCCTAGGCAAGCGATGTGTAAGTCTGGATAACACATATCCCAGTTATCTGAGATATTGATCATCATTGGTTTCCTCGAGAAACTTCTTTTACTTGAAACTCTTTCTTAGTATAACGTCACTGATATCTCCATTCCACCAGCAGTAAACAATACTACAACGCCAAATCTAAACTATATGACTTACATGTAAACTAGACGCATCATGAACTTTTTTGGTAGCAACCAATAAGGAGAATTATTCGATGATTTTAAAAACATTTCAAGAAGTGAAAACGCCTTAGTCGTATTGCTAGCACAGTCATTGAGGAAATCTGTTAAAGCATGGCTCAGGATTGTATCTCCCGTTTTTAACATAATCATACGCCATTGCGTTACAAGATTTGAAAAGATTGTTTCTAAATTGTGATGATCATCCAACTCATTTCTGGCAGAACTTTGAGCGATTAATCTGGAGATATATGACGAACGACCTTCCAAATTAGAAACCAATTCAGAAAATGGTGTTTTACACTTTCCCTTCGATGAGGTCATATTGTTTCCTAACAAAATAATGAAAAATATGTGATTGAAACTTTTGTTTAAGGTAATAAAATAACAAGACATTAAACAGAATTCTAAAGTTAAACTGCTACATGACTTATGAAGTTAGTTGTTCTAGTATGATCTTTTAATTTTGGGTAATTTAAGTAAAATCCGTTCTAAATATATGAGGGCTGAAATTCCCATTAGATCACTTTCATACATTGCATGACGGAGTGGCTAGAGATTTAATAACCAAGAGTGTTTTGAAACAAGATGTACCAAATCTGCTAACAACAAAATTAGTCTCTATTTGTAATAAAAAGAGATGCTACAATCCCTCGATTATCTTTTAAAACAACCTCTTGTTAGAAGTCTTAACAAGCGCTTTTATCTGTTTTATTTCAGACACAACATTAACAAAAATTAACATGACAAAGCAGAGCATAGTAGAGATCCATCAAAGACGGAGTTAAAATGATATAAAAAAAATAATCACTCGAACAACCTTAAGAGATATATCCAAAATGTTTCATCGCTATTCATAAATAGAGGAAAAATAGAGGAATGCATGCTAATATCAGTTGTTAGTTGTGTATGAAAACGTCTTAAGCTGCAGCATCACTAGCTTTTTGCACCATTCGAATAAAATTTATGCCTTGAAGATTTTAACCTACCACAGCTACTTACTATCTTATTGATGGACTAACAACTCTCAACTTCTAGTCCCTGGTCTCAAATATTTCTTTCTCCAAATAATCAATTACCTGCAACATGCTTCATTCTCAAACTTGACTTGGAAACACGTTTCAAAAACGTCATTAGAACCACCCTTAGTAAATAACTGAGTGATGGACTATAGTAAGAACAGTGCCCAAATGAATCGGCCCAGTGGCAAACATCAAAAGGGCACACAAAAATATGATTCAAATATGGTTCAAAAACGTGAGTGGGACAGAATTATTTAATGGATGATATTACAGAAAGCAATCGAAATTTTGAAGGCAGTACTAGTAGAATAAATCAGAATCAGTATGGCCTATCTCGAGGAATTTTTCAAGAAATATCCAGAACCACTGCACCTACAGTACAATTTTCCACTTGATTCAGGGCAGCAGTACTAAGTTTCGGTCTGTCTGACCTGTGGCGTCTCTTTTATTAAACTTCAGTGAGCCAATACACATCATCGAGTATGATCATGGGTAAAAATGTTCCCCTCCGACTTACAAATCTGAATTCTAATATGTTATTCATGGTTTAGTTTACAGAAAACGGTTAATTTGACACTGAAGTGATTATTAATCCCAAATACTAAAAATCACTTTAAAAAACATAGACCGACCATCACTGGTGATTACAGTGCAACTGACTGCATAACATAATTACATTTTCATCTTTACAATTCTATTATAAAATCTAGCGGTCCGCTAATATGCATTCCAGCTAGCAATTTCTTCAGGTGCATTGCAGAACATGGGACAGTGATCTGCAGTCTGCACGAGAGATTCTGTAGAGCTCCCAAAACATTCTGCGGTGTGCCCGAAGTCAATGCTAGCTGGAATCACTAACCCCATGAGGCAGTCACTTTTAGCCTCAAAATTTATCTTTTTTATTAGTTTTACCAACTGCAGCTAGTGAGAAACATGACACACTCATGTGTGCAGAAAAAGTAAAAATGTATAGTTAAGCGGTAACTGTCGTCTAAATGTCATTTGGACTTTTTATGGTAATTTAGAGACACAAAGTTAATTGATCGTCACAAATCTAATATGACAAGAAAGACTCAGCAGCAAAACATTATGTTGGGTTAAAGACAATAGCCGAGAGTGCAAATAAATACAGGTCATAAATACACTGAACTAAACAAAGATCTTGCGAAGAAAGACACATCCAAACTAACCGAATAAAGTAGGCGCATACTTGTACAAGAGTTCACTTATTCCTTAACTGAAAACGATATATATATATATATCCCAGCTAGCATTTTTTTCGGGCGCATTGCAGACTTTTTGGGGCAAAAACTTCGGCTAGATCTACTTACGTGGGACAGTGTCCCGAAGTCTGTCCCAAAAAGTCTGCAATGCGCCCGAACAAAATGCTAGCTGGGATATTGTGCATCCCATCTAGCACTGATTTCAAGTGCACTGGAGAATCTTTGGTATACACTTTATATTAATGCCCCACGCTCTGCAATGCATCCAGAGTCTTTTATCGGGAGATTCCGCAGTGCACCTGAAGAAAATTTAAGCTGGCCACCCGGGTTACACCGAAAGTTATTTAACTTTCAGTTTTCGATTCTGGGAAAAAACGTAGAGTAATCAGAAACATTTCAAATGCCATTGACACTTTATCTAAAGGCGTTCTCACAGAATAATGTATACTGGAACACTAAGCTATAAAACGAAAGCACATTTGTCAACAAAAGGTAAACGCAATTCCAGCGCGCTTCTGAGTGTCAGGTATTTCCGTCGGAGTTCAATATTCAAAATGCTTGCCATTGGCACTTATATATCCGTCAATCCACTTACACCCTCTTTTTAATGACAAAAATAGTTTTGTTTTTCGTTTATAAGAAAACATGTCAAAATAAGTTTGAATTCCACGTAGGAGCTAGGATGAGAAAATAAGGATCACGTTACACTTAACGCGAGCTCCTTGAATATGACTTGCTTATTCCTCTCTAACCGGAAAATAGCTATTTTGTGAATTATCCGCTTGGGGAACCTGATATTCTTAGCCGGTGAATCTTCGCGTGGAAAGTCCAGCTGTCTCCAACTACTGCCAAATTTCAGGTGCTACACATGTAGCAGCATCTTCCTCACTCATTTAGATACGCAAGACTTGCTGGTCTGCCACGTGGTTGCTGTGAAACCAAGCAACCGCAAAGTACTAGGTTAAGTCGATACCTTTCATTTTCCTTGTCTGGTACTTTTTCAATCTTTTTATTCTTTTTCTTTTTGGCATGTAGTGTTGCTATCTCTTATACATATATAATCATAGGTTATAGTAGTTGTTAATATGGCGGTTGAAAGTAACCTTACAAAGGTTTCATCCAGAAGAGCCAATAACCCAGGGACATCAACCCCATCTTGCATACAGATTCCAAAGAACCGTGTACATCTTCCGGTTCTGATACTCTGCCTATTTTGCCACAGTCTATCACTGAAATAGCACAGGCAAAATACAGTGGGCATCATAAGACACCTATATCCGTTGTGAGCAAGTGTGTGACACAGAGCAAAACGAAAAAGAAATGCTAAAGACGTCATAAGACCTTGAAAGCATACTGACCAGCAGATTTGGTAGTGGTGAATCACTCCGATTTGTAGGACATCACCATGCATTTTTGACAGCTTGAGAATAAAAACAGTCTAGATCCCTGACAAAAAATAAGGGTTGCAAAGATCTGAATTTAAAAAATGCGCTTGCTCCTACCATCTACAAGCCTGTTCAGCTTCTTGTCAGGGTGCTACTTCATGGATCCTACACAAATTCGTGAGACATCTTACTGGTTAGCTTGTTTGTGAAGACCTCAAAAATAAACTTATCCAACTTTTACTGCTATGTGAGAAATGAACATATTGTACATTACTTTGTTTTGACCAGAATCTCTGTACTTTGAACTTAACCTCGTTGTTTGAATGGGAATATAGTTCTGCCTACAACTCTCCGTCTTCTCCACCATCTCAACTGCCATCGGCCAACTCTAATCACCTACATTATATTTAAAAATTTTGGAGGGACGCCGCATTTTCTCCCTACTTTACCTTGATCGACCTCTGGCAATATTGATATTGGAGAAGCAAGATTGGAGCAGTCTTCTCACAATACTTCCGGAGTCTACTACGTTAATTGTGGATTTTGACCTTGTAATAACCCAAGTAACAAATTTTAATATATTCCCCAACTAGCTTTACTGATTTGGTATTTTTATTTCTACTCGAATTTGATATATTAAGTTGACAGAGTCTAACGTCCACCACATGTTCTACAGGTTCTAATATCCAGATCTTTGAATTCACCTCTCACTGAGGTGTCACTCATCCACCTCACAATAACCTTTTTATTTACTTGCCATTAAACTCCATCTTACCCTATCTAAGTGGACCTCTATTAAAGCTAAAACTTTCTCTTTGTTCATATTCGTTGTTTGCTCAAGGTCTAATTGCTCTGATGAGAAAACCATGACAACACCAGTGTTTGAACAGCACTGTATTTTCGCTAAATACGTTGTATTTTCCATTCTTAGACCGATATGGTTAGCATTAAACACTGCAAATGTATATGTAGGGGACTGTTACGTACTCCACATATATATTACCATTCCAAGGAGTCTCCACCTCCTCCCTACATCTATCTTTTAAATGTACTTCCAGTGATGCATTAATCATAATTTTATTTTATACCATTTCGCTGTTTCTCAGGACGTTCTTCTCTTTCTGAAATAGCATTAAGTCAGGTGAGGGGGCATAGCACTCACTCAGATATATGTAGATTGTCCATAATTATCATCAGGAAACGAAACGAAGTTTGGGTTGTTGCTCAACTTCGACAGTGTCCTTGGTGAAATGTTTTCAATCTAACATTTGCGTGGAATTGTCCTGATTTATTCTACAATAGTCGAACGATTTAAGCTTTTGAAAAAGTACTAACTTACGATATTTCAGGATTGTAATTTATAACATTACTGATCGTTCCTGTAAAAATAGCATGCATTTCTTGTAAACACCAGTCTATACAAAATATAAATTATTATTATGATAACATAACGAAGCCTGTTCAGAACATGATGAAATCTAAATTGACCGACCGTACAAAGGAAGACAGGTAGCCAAAGACCAAGCCTCAGTCCGAGGTTATTCGGTCGAATTCCTTTATATTGCTCAATATACCCGTGTGCAGTAATAGTTTGCTCGGACAAACGGCTCTGTTTGAACAGGAACAGTGGCCCAATTTACGCAATAAATTAGGTCTGAACATCAATTCGGCAAAATTGTAAGGCTGTACAGGGGTGTTCAGGCACTTCAAGGAAAACCATCTCCACTAAGGTTGACATTGGGCTCTGCTGAAGTGGATGAAGGATGCTGTTGCTGATTTAGACTTTAGCTGTCGATAGGATTTCCAACACAAGATAAAGGCATGATAGGCCATGGGGTAGCCGGCAAATGGTGAGGGAGTTTCTGGATATGATGTCCTCTACCTCCATCGTCTTACGCGTGCTCCGGTGCTGGAAACTGGCACTGCTAGTGAAGGCGTACGCGTCATGTCCAGTAGTGAAGATGGCTGTCATCTAGGATGACCTTTGATGCTTCTGAAATAATTTCGATTTTCCGGCTACGTCGCTCATCTCATCTTACATCGGTGAGCCCTCCAAGGCTACTAGGGGTCAAATTCAGCTCCCAGGAACAGTTGACTCTAGAAATTCAGCGGTGATACGGGACCAAGTGTAAACCGGAGGGATACACCCGATGCTGCGAAGGCAGAAGGCAGCAAACTGAGGTCTTCATAAGTTCTCAAGCCTCAATGATAGCGATGCGGTACTAAGAATGATAGTCGGTGTTCCCCAGGTACCCTGACTGAATCAGAGGGATAAAATAGAAACAGGCTGGTTCCGTTGGAATCTGCCGACTGAGCCCTGTATCAGCAGACAACGCAACATCAACTACCCCACAACATGCTGAGGTTGTGGGACTCACTGTTAGCTGCCTGAGTAGCAATTTTGGAGGGCTATGGTGTAAAGATTGTGAACTCAGAAACCTCCAGTCGCACATACACCTTAAAATAAAAATCCTGGCTGAAACCTGGCTTACTCCCGCTATCGCGGATAATGCAATCAGTTAAAGTGATATGGTTCAAGACAGTGGAGATTGGGATAAAAAAGAAGGGTGAGTTGCCATATACTTTGATAAGCATCTTAGATGCGTACATGAGACGGACCCACAACCTATTGATATTCCAGACTACACATGGTGTCATTTCACCGTAGTTCACACCAAGCATTTGCTGGGTGGCATCAACCGATCACCCACCTGTGGGGCAGGGCACAAATAGGTACTGTTCGGCACCGCCATGAGGATACAGAACTTCGGCTATGACTAAATCATCATAGCTGGAAATTTCAATGTCCCATCCCTGAACCCTAGCTCGAAGTATGCTTGAGGAAACTTTAGCTAAAATCTATCCCAAACCATTCGAAATACAGGACTGACTGAGAATGTTAGAGACGACGCTAGGTGAGGCCCTAATGGAAAGTCATCGAAATTAGATAATGGTCTCACCAGTGACCAAATACTCGCCGAAAACGTCCAGATCATGACAGCCCCCGGAAAGTAGAGACCACGACGTCGCATGGTTCAATCTTGTCCTCAGCGAGCACTTACAGTGGGATACCACGCGAAGATATCTGTGCTGTGGACTATGCTGGAATGTGAAGGCTTATGTCAGACGCAGAACGGCCTATAGAATGGGTTTAGTTATCTGTGGACGAACACTGAAAAGTAAAAGAAGAGATTATTTACACAGTGGTCTCAGATACCATTGTTTAGTCACAACGCATTACAAGACAAGGTCGTCATGGCTGAAGAGAGGTACGCAACGTATTCTGCAAGCAAAGCTGAAGACTTGTGTCAATGTAGTTGAAGATTGAACGATCAA